TCGTGAAGAGGATTGGGATTATAGCCTGGAGGAACAGAGATTACACGTGGGTCGTGTAACCCTTTCTAATGGACTCATCGTTAAACATGCCGAATGGAGTTATAGAATTGATTTCTCCCCTCGTCGCGTTCGAAGCCGCACTGCCATATTTGTCATCCTACGGTTAAAAGTGTTGATTTGGTCTTTTTGCCTAATTCCAAATTAGTTCAAGCATCTGCCTATTTTTTTGTATCCAGTAGGCTCCGTGGTCTGTACTGAATTGCCATTTTAGTGCATAAAAAGCTAACGATATTAGCATTAAAGTATACATGATACATGTAAGTCAATAAGTAATAATGTTATTGAAATGTAAACTGGTTAAGCATATTTGTTTCCCGTTTCGTTAACTTAACAAGAATCTTAGAAAGCTAAAACATAGACTTAAAGTAAAATGTTGTCATAACGTTATGATATACTTTTGTTTCTGTTGAGTGATTACATTACTGTCTACTATACAACAGGTCGAATTTCGGATGAAGCCCTTTAAAAAAAACATCCTCATAACCAAATCAGGATTTCGGGTGAATGCTTTACCATTAATTATTAGCTTTGTTTTCTGATAATGTGACCATCATGCTTTGTCACTCAGTAACTCACAAGAGTCAAAGATAATGTAATACAATAACTGCTTTATTAAAAACATTATTACATAATACAAATAAAGCTTCACAAAAGTAATCTTCGCTTAGAAATTTGAGGAAAATATGACGAATTCTTATTTCAAAATAATATTTACGAGAAAATAATGAAGGCATGGAATGTAAATCAAATTATTGAAGTACTCGTCACAGACAAAAATATAGAGAAAGAAAACGAAATAATGATAGAGCGTAGCATCACTGCTTATGTAGAGAGACTGAATCGTCTTAGGATGTAGAATGGTGAACCATAAATTTCGTTAAACGTAACCCATCCTTCGATTACTTGAAAGAAAAGATATGCAAATCGAACATGGTTCCGCACTTTAACTGATTGGAAAATCGACTCTATTCCCTTACCGCAATACTTTGTTATCATCTCGAAGAGGCTCAGACCCATTGAAAGTTGACTCAAGCAATCGCCACTAGAGGCGGATCCATTTCCAATCATTATTTCGGCTTACTTCGAATCATCTATATCATCGCGTCCGGTCGGGCGGTCGCGTTACACGACCTTTCGTGAAACGATCGCGGAAGATGACGCGACCTTTCGTAAATTTGCCGTTGGGATTTCACAAAGTGTCGGGTACATTGCAAAAGACCATGAAATGTAAGGGGTTTATTTTACAAGCAAGTGACCCGGGATATTTCGTGAATAAAAGGGCATGTTTTCACAAAAGGTCGGGTAAAATAACGTGACCATCCGACCCGACCCGCTGACGCCGGGTGACCCGATGATTGGAAGTAAGCCTTATTCCACATGGTCTGTCGTGATTTTGTCTCAGCTCAACTTGACCTAGATTTTCACGTTCGAAAAGACTGAAACGTGTTTGTTGTTAATTGAAGAAAAAACAAAGAGAAAAAGACGAAGAAGGCCAATACTCACATTTGATTGCCAATATCATGCACAATGCGTGCCGTTGACCGGGCCCGTCGAAGATCCTTTAGCAAGCATAATTTTCTATAAAAAGAGTGGTTTTAAAATGGTGAGCGTTTCTGCCGATAGCTCGACTGTCTCGTACAACATTTCACTTGCCAATGATGACGATATTCATGAAAGCAGATATTATTCTTTACAGGCATGTCTGACCCAAGCACATGTGCTAATAGACTAGCAGTCTGTTCTTAGGGGTTAGTTATTGATTGCAAACCAAGCGAATCGATGTGTGAATGAAATGAAAAATAACAATGCTATTCACGTGCAAATTATGACCATGAAACTTTATTTTTTGCAGCCTCTGTGTAATTATACACGCGTTAGAATCAACACCAGCACAATGCTTCCATCACAAATAACAAATAGTCTAGGCATTTTGAACATGTTGAAAGTTCATCTACCCCGGCATCTACCTCGAAGTATATAGCCCCAATGTCTCGAATTCACAGCTATGTTCAAGGACGTATGATTGCAAGCAGCATGAGAAAAGGAAATTTTGATTGTAAAGAGAAGTCTTGCATGAGATACGCATCCGGGCAAATTTTATTTTCAGGCATACAAATTGATTTTTAAAATCTATTTTTACACCTTTTATGGCATTTGTCGTCCGAACATTATTTTCCACGCGTATACGCTTCATTCGAAGTTCATGGTCAATGTGTTGTATAAGATTTCTGTATGATGGAAGGTCTCCAGACTCAAGTCGTGCCTAGAATCCCCGCGGGTATACTTGTAATCTTTCTTGGATTTTCAAAAAAAACCATTCTTTTCAACTTTTATACCTATTAGTGGATCTCTTTTAAATCTCAACGATCATATAGTACTTGATGTATTCATGATAGGCTACTTGAAATACTTGTGTATTCGAAAAACATCGGGTATGCCTATAGTTATCCCTTCTCATTTGCATTTCGTGCCATTTGAAGGGATATTGGCTTCAGTGCAGACATAAATTTTCTCTATTTTTAGGAGATTGAAGGACAAAGAATTTTATAACATTTTTGTGAGCCGAGTTCATAATAAGAAGTAAAACGAAATAAATAATTATTATCGATGGCGATGTAATATAAGACAGAGGTAAAGAAAAGGGAAAGAGAGAGAGAGAGAGAGAGAGAGAGAGTCGAGAAGGAAGGGATCGAGGGAGGGAGGCAGGGAGGCAGGCGCGCCGGAAGCAGTTGAGGATTGGGGGGGGGGGGGGCAAATATTCCAGGGGGCTCACCTTCCAGGGGCAGTGACGTAACGAGCAAAAACGTTTGGAAGGGGGGGGGGGCAAAAGAAAAATCTGCATCGCCACCACCACCAATTGGCGGAGATTCCAGGGAGCAGAGCCCCCGGAAGCTCGGTTTTTTTTTAGGTATTTGATAACGGTCAGATGATCATACAGGGGACCGCCTTAGGGCCCTTGGTGGGGTCCGGGGGCGGAGCCCCCGTAAGCTATGGGGTTTTAGGCATTTAATTACGGTCAGATGAGCATACAGGGCCCCGCCTTAGGGCCCTTGGTGGGGTCCAGGGGGCAAAGCCCCCGGAAGCTCAGGGGTTTTAGGTATTCAATAACGGTCAGATGAGCATACAGAGCCCGCCTTAGCGGGCCCTTAGTGGGATCCGGGGGCGGAGCCCCCGTAAGCTCTGGGTTTTTAGGCATGTAATTATGGTCAGATGAGCATCCATGCAGGGCCCGGCCTTATGGTCTTTGGTGGGGTCAAGGGGGCAGAGCCCCCGGAAGCTCGTGGATTTTAGGTAACGGTCAGATGAGCATACAGGGGACCGCCTAGGGCCCTTGGTGGGGTCCGGGGGCGGAGCCCCGTAAGCTCTGGGATTTTAGGCATTTAATTACGGTCAGATGAGTATACAGGGGACCGCCTTATGGCCCTTGATTGGGTCTGGGGGCAGAGCCCCCGGAAGCTCGGGAGTTTTAGGCATTTAATTACGGTCATATGAGCATGCAGGGGACCGCCTTAGGGTCCTTGGTGGGGTACGGGAATGGAGTCCCCGTAAGCTCTGGGGTTTTAGGCATTTAATTACGGTCAGATGAGCATATTTTGATGCCTCATTATTTTGTGACATTGGCAGGTCACTTTTTTCTCTCTCTCCTTCTTTCTTTTTCTCTTTAACAAACTTTTTTCAAAAAGTGAGGGGTGCTCGAGCCCCCGAGCCCGGCTGTTCTGCAGACTCTGACATACAAGCTTATTAATAAGCATGTTTTTCGCCCGACTGTAAATTTTAGAATTTCTAATTTCCAACAAATGTATAAAAAGGTATGACTTGAGAAAAAATTGAGAAAAAATACCGGAAAATAATGTCATTTCAGCAAAATTTGTAAATCACTGGTATCAAATAAAAATCACCCCCCCCCCCCATCAGTATGCCAGCGTTCAGGGGCTCATGACGCTACTCACCCCTATAACTCACGCTATGTCGACGATATGCGCGCGCTATTATAAAAACCTCTATTGATAAAATATAGGTAGCGTGCGCAATGTTTAGGAAATTTAATTCCTGTTAACTATCCTTTTCTTTGAATAGAATTGTATATGTCATTTAATTCAGGTTTTTATTAATGTTATGTTCTTTTGGGTTAAAAATACAAACCATCTTTACTCCTTTACTGCTTTTTTTTTTTGAGGGGGGGGGGGCGTTTTTTTTTTTTGGGGGGGGGGGGCAAAAGTGCGTTTTGCCCCCCCCCCCCCCCATTTTTTTGATTGGGGGCAACTGCCCCCACCCACTTCCGGCGCCTATGGAGAGAGGGGCGAGGAAGATAGTGAGGGGAGGGAATTAGGATCGAGAGAGTGAGCGAGCTAGGGAGGCCTGAATTATAATATCGAGGGTGGAAGCAGAGAGTTCCAATTCCCTAGTTGGGGCCAGGGGGGGGGGGGGGGGGGCTCCCAACATGACTGGCTATGTACCCGCGTCCAGAAAAATGGTGTCTTTATATGCTATACGGCGTCGTCGACGTTTTCCTTAAAAAGGGGGTGTTTTCGCACAAAAAACGAAAAAGGGTAACCTTTTAGGTTCACAGGCGTCAACGTTTTCTTACTGTATATGCCATTACTGATTAGGGTCCATTTTTAGATAATGTGCGATACATGTATACGCAATAAGGGTCATTTAGGTTGATGGACACGGGTAGGTAGCCACTTCTATGAGAGTGCCCACCCTCCCCCCCCCCCCCTCCAGTTTTTTAATATATTTTACTGCTGAATCACAATTTGTCTCTCTCCAACATTACACCATACCTTTATTTGAAATGTAACTCAGGGTGTGAAGGGGGGGGGGGGGGGTGTCGGAAATAAAGACCGATTGCACAATCCGTTCGAAATGTGTGTGATGCTCGCACGCACGCTATTATATGCGCTGGTATGGTCAGTGCAGTATAGAAGCTCCACGTTCGTTCGTTCCCTCATGCTCATGCTCTGCCTGTCGTTCGGCGTATAGATATAGCCGTGGCCGTGTAGAATACTGCTTCTCGGATCTATCTACTCCTACATTTGATTTCAGTTTTGTAGTACTTTGTCAAGCTTTTCTAATTATTGACCATCATGAGCAGTCAAAGGGGAAACGCTAAGAAGAACAAACCTCCAAAACATGTGAATAAAATGGGTTTTAAAAACTCGATGCATGACACCAGCCAGAGAACGAAAGATCTCAACGAAATGATTATTTCTGGGGTTTGTCAACGATGTAAAGATATACTGGCATGGAAAATCAAGTACAAAAAATACAAGGCTTCGACTCAGGCAAGGAAATGGTAAGTTTTTATGATACAAAATGCCCTGTTGCCATTGGAATTTGTGTGTGAGTGCTAATTTCATGGACATGTGTTATGATGTGCATTATGATGTTTATGTTGCCCCACACATTGAAAAACAAGTTAGTGAAAACTGCATGAAAGTCAATGTTGAGACTAGTGTCCTGTCGCTGTCCACGTCCATGTCCATGTGTTTTCATTCTTTAAAAGAAATTGTATCTTGCCCTAGTCTGTGACTATAACAGAATATTATTAATAATGATGAGTCTTTTATTAAACTTAAAATGACTTGGCAACATTCTTCATAATAATAATAAATCTAGTCTATACGAAATTACGAATCATACTCATAGGGGTCTAGGCACATTCATGGGGCACTAGAGGGCGCTTCGCTCGCGTACGACAATCTGAATGGCCTTGCTGCGGTGGGTCGGCAATAATCAGCCCAAAACTTGGATATGGGAGGTAGGAAGGATATATCTTTTTTATAATGTTATCCGGTCTTACCCTTAACCATCCTCTGTTTAATCTATGTAGAAATAACATGCGAGTGTGATAAGAGAAACATCGGGCCCATTACTGAAGTAACTTTTTAAATATTAGCCTAGAAATGACCACCAAACGGAAAAAATTGACATTTTTTCCCGACAAATCTTCATAAAATCTGAGTTATAAACAAGTCACATCTAGGTACACTAATACAAATACGATTTTCTGAAAATTCAGGTATGATTTATTAAGTTTCTTTCAAGTATATTTCTGCGCATTGCAGCGCCAATATTCTACACTGCTTCAAAATCACACTGCTTCAAAATCACACTTGAATTTTTTTTTTGCAACAAATTTGATACGAGGTCCGCGAGTGTTCCCCGTTCCTTGCGTGTTGAAAGTTTGGTAATACATAGTTTGCATTGACTCGCGCACGAAAAAATGGTCGAAAACAAAATGTCAAATGAAGAAATAAACAAGCTTTTGTATAGTTATAAGAGTTCTACCGAGGTTTCTTTGTCGATTCAATTGATTATATAGTCTCAATTAGAATTCAGAATTATCTCACTGAAAAGTTAAGAAACCGACGATGTTCTCGATCTTAGTTATTTTCATTTTGCCAGCAGCCGATCTAGCGTTGTTTGGGCAAAAAGCAAGGCCGCTGCCTTCCCACGCGAACCCTTCCGAGTCCCGCTAAAATGGCACTCTGCGGAGCTCCGAAGCTGCGTTGGTATCGCTGCAAACTCTCAGCCGGCTAGCTCCCCACGAAGGACCATTCGCGGTATGGCGAGAGTGTGTGTGTGAAGTATGATTTTGGATTCGAGAACGCACGTAATGCAACCGTGCGCGTCATTTTCAGCTGTCGAATGTATACGACCAATTTTACATGTACGATTTTTAGTACAGATACTTGGTCAGTTTTCTTCTTATATCTTTGGTTTTACAACATTTAAAAATATAATTTCTTCAAATTTGCTCCTGACTCGGTTCAGACTAATTGTCTGATGTGTTTTCAAGTCAATTTTTTTAATATATTTTTTTGCATGAATTTGCCTATCATAGGTTACTTGGGTAAGAAATAGTCTCAGAATAGTTTTTAGTAAAAAATTTTAGTAAAAAAAATATACAATTGCATTGCCAATCGTACTATGTATAACTATATTTTTATGACATCCAGGGTCTATACCTTCCATTTCTTATGCTTGTGAACATTTGCAGCTGTTCTTTACAAAGTTTCACAAATTTTGACAATTTTTTTCCTTTTTTTCTGCTTCCATTTTCCAGCACCAAGTGCCAACAGAAGAGAGTTAAGGATTCGTATCACATCATCTGTAAGGTTTGCTGTGAAGCTGAAGGTGTATGTGGCAAATGCGGACAGAAAGTCGAACAGGGAGAGGGTGATGGGTAAGGAAAGCATCTTTCTTTAAAGGGCGACTAAATTACAAATTCATGTTGACTTTTGTTGATCTGTAATAATGTATACATCACATATCTTTGACTTTTTGATGTACATTTTTTTATGTCATATATTTTATATTATTTTTTTTATTACTTTTGTTTTTCCTTAGCTCCACCCCTACAAAAAGCATCTTTCTTTAAAGGGTGACTGAATTACAAACTCATGTTGACTTTTGTTGATCTGTAATAATGTCTTTGACTTTTTGATGTACATTTATGTCATATATTCTATATCATTTTTTCTATTACCTACTTTTGTTTTTCCTTAGCTCCACCCCTAAAAATACCTCCAAAAGCAAATTACATTTGTGAAATCGTCATGCCAGTCATTCATCAGTCAGCTAGATGAACAGAAGTCATTGGTATGTCCCTTCCCATCAACTGACCATATGCAATGCTATTGTGAACAGGAATGGGAAGGGACATGATTATAATGATTAAATTGATGATTATAAAATAATAATTATTGTTAATAATAACACCACCATTATTGGTGATGAGTCACCAGGTCCCTGTCTAAATATCGGAAATAAATAAATAAATAATAATAATAATACTAACAATATTAATAATAATAATATTAATAATAGCACCCATGATAATTGACAATGATAGTGATAACGATATTAATGATACTCACACTAGTGTACTGCTTAATACAGTGTATTTTTTTTTCTTATATCAGGAATAATGAGGATAACGGTGAAGAGATTAGACAAAAGCTAGCTTTTCTATCCGAGAGAGAAAGGAGAACCTACCTTAGAGCACAAGATAAGAAGGCTTCCAAAGAACGTTCTAGTACATCCAAGCATAAAGAGTGTGATGAAGAGTCAGATGAAGATAAAGATGAAGAGAGTGCAGATGACCAATGTGAAGAGAACGATGGTGTTGGTAATGGACAAGTACATGTAAATTGGGCTCCAACCGCATGAGGCCTTCCAAACACTTTGGAAGATGCGACTTGGTCTTAGCACGTTCACTTGGTCAACTATCTGTCTTCGCCTACAAACTGGCTCTGACGCACCCCGGTTTGAAACCGAGTCGCGTCTTTCGGATGATGACGATGTTAAAGGTTGGTCCCCGGATGTAAATAATAATATCTGATTTATACACATCTGTATAAACCCATTTACACACACACATTTTGGTGATTCAGGACTCGAGGGAAGGAAGAGTGAAAGCTGAAAGGACTGTACGTGGACTGACCCCTAACATTTCGCAAGGCTTCTAACGTGCCTGGATGATAAACAAGAGTATATAGGATTCCTGCTGTACTTTGGATTCTAACTGATGTGATGTAAAAATATTCCTGACAGTGACCACTGTTTCTGGGAAGTTTGTGCTGGTACTAAAATATTTGTTTGTCATAGCTCCACTGTCAATTTCTAATACCAGTGGAATTCCTTACCTTAATCTAATCCTAGACCCAACCAACACGTTACTTGACCCTAACAACAGGCAGTGACATCACCGTCAGATCGTTGCTGGATGAACATGAACCATTGAAAGTTCCATCTTGCAAGTATGACATTGTATATTGGTAGAATGATAGTCAGAGCATAGTGAAGCAAGTGAACAAAATAAAATAGTAACTTAATATATAGAAATGTTAAGTACCTGGAAGTGTTGACATTTGAAAATAAAAAGAAGTTTACATTTCTTCCAGCAAATGTCAATGTAGTTGCCAGGACATTTTTTATCTGGACTGCTATATTGGTAAAATGAGGAATACCCAGAAATTTTATTAACAATATGAAAAATATATTGCTCTGCTTTTACATTAAAATTGAATTTCTTGAATTATTTTAAATCCTGCTCCCGGCAAATTGTCCTGCATCGGTATGTAACATTTTATTTTACATCTTTTTTTGTAAAAACAAAGAATGATACATGATATAAATATTAGAAATGAGATTTCTTGTTCTTTTGGTCAATTTTTTTAGTGAAAAAAAAATTGTTCCTACGAAGATTATTTGTGGTAATAGATGTGAGGTGGGGGGGGGGGGGGCGTAACTTGATTAATGATAGGATTAGTGTCTGTGGTGAATCTTTGATATAAATATATACATGTATACAATACACTACTACTCGTGTTTCAGGCCCTCGTCTTTTGTTTCCTGCTTTTGTCCTCTTTCTTCCTTTCAAATGTTCTTTGTTGTTTCACTCTCTGGTTTATTCCTTCCCTCTGTCACATAATGGATACAGTATGCATGTTTGTGTGTGTGTGTGATGTGTTATGTGTCTACAGCTCAAGTAGTGGTAAAGAGAAAATGAATTCTCTGAATAATTTTACACAAGTGAGTGAAAGTGAAGGATGATTAGCAGATTTCTTAAAAATCTTTTGCCCAATTATTGTGTACACATAATTTTTCTTACCAGCAATCAAGATCTGTTCACCATAATGCTACGTCAAATATTCTGTTCCTGGTTTATCTTGTATGATCAACTTCAAAAAGTCACGTTCCCCTCCAACAATTATTTGTTGTCGAGGTACAAATCACAATTATTAGGGACTTTTAGATTTACACAACAAGAACGCTGACCGCCACGTTTGACATCCTTTTAAGGTAATGTGACGTCCTTTTAAGGCACTGCCGGGCACGGCCCAGTGCCTTAACACAATGTCACACGTGGCAGTCCACGCTCTCGTGTAAATCTAAAAGTCCCTAATGTCTGCCTAGAGCTCACACCCTTCTGGATCTCAACAAATGAAATAGCTTCTCTTTTGTCAGTTGATATAAAAAACAGTATAAAAGTATGTTTCCTTCCCTTCTTTATTTGTTTCTAACATCCTTTTTTTCAATTATTTCTGTCATCTTTCTCTCTAGAGCTTCCCTTGGTTAGATTATAACTTTGACTCGTGTCCATGTTTCTTTCTCTTTCAATCTGTTTCTCTGTCTCTCTGTTTCTTACATTCTCTTTCTTCACAACAAAATTGTCCAATTATCCGCACTGAATCATTAGTTATACACATTTGTTCAATTTACAATATATTCTTTAATTATGCAACAATGTCATAATAGTATCTTAAATATTTCCTCTCAATATCCTCCAAATCAGAGGTGAAAAGCAGGTCCATTGTTTAAAAAAGCATATATGACTTATTGTAACATTTTAGATCAAGTACAAAATATGAAGTTAAATTTGTGGACTTTCTCCATTTTGAATCCCTGACAATAGCATTCCATCCATCTAATTATTACAAATAATCTTATATTTCAAGATTGTTGACTGAATAGCATTGAGCAATGTCCAGGAATATTTGACCATTATACTTTCTGCACAGAATTTGGAGTAGATTTATTATTTATGAATACAACAAGGATTAAAATGCAAGAAAAGAAACTAAAATGGATTACAAGTGGATCCTATATCCTCATTTTAGAAATAAAAGCTAATGATGAAGCTACATGTAAGTCAATCCTTAACTCAATTTACCCACACATTGAAAAGGGGTATAATTTAGACAAGAATACATGCATTTGAAAACTTGCATAGCTTATCTTAAATTCAAGACATACAAGCGTATTCTATTCATTCAGTTAAACCTGACCCGGGTTTAAGGGCCAGTCCAACAAAATGATTTTGAAAAGAAGCCTAAACGCAGTTAGGTTAAATTTTAGTAGAATACTGGCCTTAGAATTTAATGAATTATGGATGGATCTTGTGATTTAAAATGATGAAGTACGTAAAACAAAGTAAAAGCAAAAGGACTCCTACCAATTTTAAACCCTGTCCCGATTTATTAGTCTCGGGAAGAGCTTTAATTCCTTGGTAATAAATATTTTTCATAAGCAAGGGCAGGTTTACTTGAAGCCCATCATAATTAACATTATAAGCTTTGAGAGAACAAGTCCAACAAGCCCATCTTGATCATGGTCATACAAAAGGCAATATGAATTCCTTTCACAGATGGCTTGCAATACACCCTCTTCTGTTGCAGCTGGCACCATAAAAAATCATACAATATTCATCGTTGCACTGACAGGTCTCATGAAGAGAATTTTGAATGAGGTTATTAAAGTAGTCACCCAAAGAATTAAAAGTGTTTTGAATTGATACAAAATTCATATCATTGCAAAGGGGAAGCCTCACTAATCAAATATAACAACTTCCCTCTTCAAAATATGTTTTGGGCTCGCAGTAATCATCTCTCAAAAATGTTAACTTTGAGATCCAGATTTTCTGCCTTCAGCCGTCCTCCGTAGAGCGTCAAGGTTTGTGACGTCACATGCGAGACACAGCTAGCCACAACATTGCATTTTACGCCTTTCCATGACATCTATATGATTTTTCAGCAAATTATTTGTGTTTTTCAAGATAAAATCTTTCTATCCATATATAATTTGTCAGTCATTATCAGTTGTCATGAATTTTCTTCGGGGGACTACTTTAAGCCAACTCCTTCAGTGCATCATGATAGACCAAGCTCCGTTGGGGGAGGCTGTAGCTCTCTGAGGTACAGACAAAATTGGCATTGAGTGGGACTGAGCATAGACCCATTCTCCTGCACAACTGCAGAAGGTTGTTACTGCTTGAGGTACAGACAAAATCCTCTCTAGGTGGGACTGAGCTTAGAGTTAGACCCATTGTTCTGCAGAATGAGCTGACATGTCCAGGAGGCGCCATGCTGACGTAGGATCTAGGACCTCCTGATCCCGACATAGAACCCAGACGTACGTCACACGCATCACCTTCTCCTGTAGAGGGCGATTTCAAGAGAAAATATGTTCCATCAGTTTATTAATGCTTCAAAATTTGGAGTTCAACCAAACAGCGTTGGCAAATACTTGACACAATGTAGAAAAGTAGGAGGTAATAATGATGAGTAAAAATAGTGCAGGCCATTCATATATGTACATACATACTTGTTTTGTTTATAATTTTTTAATTTAATAATTGTAGATGTTGTTCAAATAACATTATTTGGTGGTGGTATCAAACATTCAAATACAAGGATGGAGTCATTACGTTTTCAATAAATGCTAAGAAGTTAAGAAATCTAGTTTTAGTATTCAAAATAATCATTGAATTATGAATGACATTTCAATATGTTGAGAAGATCTGGGCCCACCTAATATAGATTTGCGATTAATTACAAGTTATTTGCAATTGATATCAATCACGACCATGTACATATTAAGATAGGAGACTGCAAACTTGCGATTGATTCGGATCAACTCTTTATTAGACGGGCCCAGTACATATAATATTAGCATATCAAAGAAGAAATACATAGAAAACAACACAATGGACAAACTTACCAAGTCTCCTTCGACCACGACACCCTTTGCATTCCTAACAGCCATGATCTGCTGAGCGACAAAGGTGATCACTAGAACCGGGCCTTGATCCATCATCTTACCCATAGACAACTGAAGAAGAGACAAGATTGGGAAAGAGGAAAAGGTTATCATGACAACCAGTCTTGTCTTTTGTGGTTACCGTATGTGAGTGTCAACATATAATAGAGTGCACTGGATGTGTCGATAATTCAGCATAAATTCAAACTATAACTCACTGGCCCGAATTCACAAAGGAGGTTTGTCGACAAAGCTAGGTTTTTGTGCGTCATATAATGCGTTTCGATGCGTTTTTACAAACCAGGTTTGTAAACAACGCGTAAAAACGTGTCATATGACGCACATAAACCTAGGTTTGTTGACAAACCTCCTTTGTGAATTCAGGCCACTAAGTACAGATAGAGTTTACATTCTTTACAATGTACGTAATTACATATAAATATACAATCTAAAGTTAGCATACATAGCAGCATATTCATTACGATCACTTATTGAAAACTAATGGTTTTCCAATGTCAATAGAATGTAATGTAGTTACATTTTCATTAGAAACATAGTAAACCGACAGAAGACCGGTTAGTATGAGACATTCGTGGGGAGACAGGAAGCAGACAGAGACAATAATCGACAATGGAGTAACTCGAGAACAAGGTCATCTCTTAGAGACCGGGCTTTCTCAGCTGTTGCAAAATGTTTATGGAATCAATTACCAGCTCATATACATTCTTTTAAGTCTTACCTGAAGCAATTATTTTTCCAAACGCATACAGTACGTGAATGTAATTATAAACACATTTTGTACGATTCTGTAGTCTTTTTTTGTTGGTGGTAGTTCTTACTTTTTGGATTTCAAAATGTGCCTCAGAAAAGTTTTACTAGACAGATAGCACAATATATGTGCATTACCTTATTATACTTATTATTATTATATTCAGAGATAATTAGGAGAGTCACAGAGAGACCGAAGGACAGCCTGAGAGAAACGTACTTGACAGAATGAAACAACAGAAGGATGTGAAAACTTACCTCAACCATGTCTACGTCTAATACTTTGGAGTCAAACTTATATCCCATTTGGGTGGCTTGTTTGATGGGTGTGGCAAGCTGGTTGTATGGCTGAGAAATGAAGCAAAACAAATATCATTAGGTACTTGGTTCTAGATCATTTATAAAAGTTACAAAACAAAGGAATATATATAAGCACACACACTTTCTTCTGAAATGTATGTGGTCCCCTTTTGTGCTAATTACATCTAAAAATAATATTTATATAAATTTATATAGCGCATATATAATAATAATAATATTTAGATAAATTGATATAGCACACCTACAGTAAAAATATACTCTATGGTGCTGTGATAAAAACATAACTCCTAACAGTACAGTTTTAAATTACAAGCACAACCAAATAGACTATTCAAAACTCCTAAAAACAAGTGCCCTCTTCACCAAAACTTAGAAGACAGCAGGCTTTTCTTATGTCTAATGTTGGGTTAATCCAAAACTTTGGAGCGGCCCAACTGAAAGTGCAATCTCCCAGAGATACTTAAAACTTGTTTTTGTGTGAGGTAGCTTAAGAAGGAGTTGTCCTCTGTGCTACGTAGGCTATGTGCATCCAGTTGATATGAAAATTACAATGTCAGCCTTTTTCATAAGGAAACATGTGAAAAGTACATGTTTAACACTTTGAAGCAGTACCAGTTTTTATCTTTAGTAAATGTCTGGTCTTATTCATCATAGAAACCCAAAATCAAATATCACACATAAAACTACCAGTACAACCAACTTGTATGTGGAGTATAGGGATGAACACAGTGGGAATGTCATTTGGATGGAATTTGTGATAGTCGATATATACTCACAGCTTCATAACACCAGTCTTTAATGATTTCTAGATCTCCTCTAATCATAGCCTGTAGATATGATAAGAGATAAAGAGAGTACAGAGAAAGTGATTACATAATTAGATGTAGAACAAACTACACATATCACAAACAAAACGCAAAGGAATCAAAATGTATTTATTTCATAGTGGATTGTTTACAAAAAGACCATGAATATTAAAGAAATACATAAGAGGCATGGTTCCAAGAGCACCGCTTCAAGTAAATGAATGAAATATTTGAATAAGAGGGGCTAAAATAAAAAATAATTCTATTACATTTACATTCTACAGATTTGGGAAGGTATGGTATTGTATTACTGTAATATTGTATTATTTATTCAGCACTTTCAAGAAATATAACAATAAAATAATATAATCATGGTAATTACAAAATTAGAATGACAAAAAATTATACAAATACAAATTTTGTGGCAATACCCCGAGTGCAAAAGATGGTGGCCAGGGAAGAAGAGAGCAAACTTAATCATTGTAACCCTAATGGTCCCTCTGCCCAACCAACTGATGCACTCAGAAGACTGGTGAAAATATAGCATAAGGACAAAATAAGAGAGTAACAACTCAAGGATAAACAATAAGAAAATAAAGAAAGGAGAGGCACAAGCAAATGTAACACCAAAAGTTCATATTGAACTCACCTCTAGAATATTTGGTATAATTTCAAGCTCACACATCTTAAGAAATCCTTCCTTGGTAAAGGTAGGGTCTATTTTGATGATCTCTGTCAGGACTCCGGACAACTCGGTCGGTGAGAATACTCCTCCTGTTTATGATTGAAAGATAATAATAATAATAGTACTCAGCTTTTAAATAGCGCGAATTACAATTAAGTCTCTAAGCGCCCCCAACCTTGGAGATTTGTACCCCGGCTTTAGCTGTGCTGCCATTTATGCGGCACTCTAGCATTTCAAGGAATTAATTCCTGCCAGGTACCCATTTACATCACATGGGTTGAGTGTGGGAAATGTAGATCAATGTCATTGTAGATCAATATATACAGAGTGATTGATAATACTGAAACAAACAACTATTTGACTTGTCTTTTCACATAGCTCCATCTTTTAGAGGCTCTGAAAACAAAATTACATTTCTAGAATTGATACAGAAAACTTACTAATACTGGAGCAAAGATAGATGACAATGAACACCCAGGGTCTATATTCATTTAAGGATTAATCCTTTTTATCCAGAAGGATTCTTTTACCTTTCTTGACCAAAAGTGTGTTTTAAACTCAATAATATGGGTATCATCCCATCCACCCATTTCAACAATTTGTATAAAAAATCAAGTTAAAATATTTGTATTTATTTTTTCTTCTAATTTGAATTAGCGGCATGTTCACTTGGTCAGCTCTCTGTCTTCATCTACAAACTGTCTCAGGCAACCCCGGTTCAAAACCGAGTTACGTCTTCGGATGGTGACGTTAATGGTCGGTCCCCAAACGTAAATAATCATATCTGATTGCTACACCTCTGTAAAAACCCAATGACACACACACACATCTTACCTAGTAGCTGGCTCACTCTATCTGTGACTGCTTTGGAAGCACGCACCATGATATTATCACTCTCATCGTAACGCATCTTGAGGTCAAACATCTCTGTAAACACAAACAGAAATGAAATTAGTTTTGCAAGATTAATTTCAAGCAAAAACTTTATACATATACAAATAAACATGCAGATATTATCAAGAAGTCAAAGTATCCCATGAAGGTTTCCAGAACTGCTTGACATGAAATAAACATATAGCTGGAAAAGACATGCACTGGAAAACAGAAGACAACAGTTGTAAATTAATAACATATAATACACATACATATCTATATATATATATATATATATATATATATATATATATATATATATATATATATATATCTATCCATCTATATCTAAAGGCTAAAGGTAATGCCCCTTGATAATTGCAAACACCACATAGCAGTGATTAATATCATAAAAGTTATCATCTGATACTGTGGTTGTACGATATATGCTCAAGTGACATTAGCTGTTTGGACAGTTCCATATAGTGACCAAATTTCTAACTTCAACCCTGGACCGAACACTACACCAAACCCTAACTCTAGAACTAGAACCCAGGGAAAAAAATTCTTAAAAAATTTTGGGGGCTACTTTTCAAGCTTGCTTGCATGAAATAACACTCTTTAATTTGTTCTGCATTGAACTCTATGTAATTCGGGGGGCTCTTTTATGACTTTCGGGCATTTCGGGGGCTAATTCGCCCCGAGTCCCCATGTACTTTTTTCACTGCTAGAACCCAATAGCGTCCCTTACCCTAACCTTATATCACTGATGAAAAAGCCAGGCGCATTTGGTGCCAGACCCAATGTTGAATTGCCCACACTGAAAACGTTAGTACTCACTGTTAAAAACTTGGTTGTTTTCACTGAAGTTCTTCCATTGCTGATACCACTTAGAATCCTTGTGTAATACCACTCCAGTTGCATCTCTACAATATGAACATAATAACAATAAATGTATAAATTCCAATACAAAGAGTGAGAACAATTGGGGGAACACAGCAACATCTATGCTACAGAATTTACAACTACGGTAATCTATGTCTGTTCCAATCAGTTTTCTCCAAATTTTGTTAAAAGTGAGAACATAAAAAAGAGGATATAAAGCTACATGTATGTTATCTCAACAAATTGCATACTAGTAGTGTATTTGAGGGAGATGATACATGTACATCATCTTTCTACTCTCCTTTAATAAATAAGATGGCATTGGTCTTTATAGCGGGGTTATCAGAACTCTGTTGTAAATCTGCCACCTTATGTGTTTGATTCAGGAAGTATCGTGTTAAGAAATTAGTTAATGTACATCCAATAATCCAAAACAACAAACTATCAACAAACATTGTCTTCCAGATGATAACTATAAGGAAAGTTTGATACCTTTCCTTTTTTTAAATTCACATAATAGAAGCATCTCCTTCGTCAAAACAAGAAGTGCACATTCCAATGTTAGTTAATTATCCTAGTAACAATAAATACATTTAATTCATCCAAAAGAAGGCGAAGTTGTATATAGCGATCAATCAGACTTACTCATTGGCTTCGAAGGTCTTTGCCTCTCCCTCTTCTGTATTTAAACCTTCCGTTCTTTTCCGTAACCGAGCTGAGATCAATAGAAAAAGAGTTTTGCTGTGAAAAGTTTATCTAAACTTGGAGAGCAAATCAATAAATTATCGCACTAAAGTTCATCAAAAATAGTAACTACCAGATGCTTTGAAGCATGTGAGTGAGTATAGTTTTTCAATAGTTGAAAAACATCTACAAATGTTCCACTTTGAAGACATATATTTTTGAAATACAAGTCCCTTTTAACTGTTTAACAAAATCTTAAAAAAAGAATGCAATCTTCTACCTTTGAAGTACCAGGTTACATGTATATTGAAAAAGGATACTCATCAAAGTTAACTCTTTAAGGCTACCATATTTAACTGTTACCAGTGCAAGAGTAATCTATACGGTGTTAAAAGGTGTATTCATGAGGCTGATAAACATCAGAAAAAGAGGGATTTGGCAGAGCCATTTTGCAAACAAGTAACCGTGCAGAGATGCAAAGAAAGCAACCAAAGGGTTGTGAGGGTTAGTCGTGATTAGAGCTAGAATGATCACTTACTTGGGGCCCTGTATGGCCTTGCCCTTGATGTGGTGCTCTCATCTATCTCCTCCTTCACTGCCTTTACGCTCTGTGGAATAAAAATCAGATTGCACTGTATCATATCATCTGATGAGAGCCAGAAGGGCATTAACTCATAATAAAGATACATGCCACTGCGTCTCTAGTATGCCTCTGTCTGTATGTGTGTACCAGTATGTTCATTGAAGAATGATCCAGGGACCTTTAACATCTGACCTCGCTAACTAAACTTTGCATTTAATCTGTTCAATGTTCGTACATACTCAAGCTCAGTTCAACTTTGGGTAAGTCATCACAGCAAAAAGATATTTTCTGTGAATTTAATCTCTTTTTATGACCCTGTGATCTTTCAACTTTGACCTCTTCCACCCAAAGTCTAATCAATTCATTCTTGCATGCTCATTATACTTTATCCAAGATTGATTGAAATCCTTTTGTGAGTTATCGCGGTAGCGAAAAGCGGAATGGACAGACATAAGGACAGACTACAAGAAAACATAATGCATCGATCGGCGTCATCTCCGCCCTGTACTTCGCTCATCTGGCCTTACTCTGCAGATGCCCATTACTCATCTCAAGGGATGTGGAGACCGGGCATTTTCCTCTATTGCTCCTCGCCTGTGGAATTCCCTCCCATCATCTATTCGCGAAATTGACAACCTGGACCACTTCAAAGCTTCACTCAAAACAGATATATGGCGCCATACAAATGCTGTTCATCATCATCATCATGCTTCTGACACCACCTTTGGTAAAAGAGGGATAACAGTGTCTAACCTACTTCAACACTACCTAGGAAGTAAATATATACAGGCCGTGTCTTCTGCTCTCTAATCGACGAAGAGTATGGCTGACCAATGGGGACACATATAATAATAATATCAGCTATTTCTTTGTATTCTGAGCAATATATTTATTGGCTATGCAGGAACTCATGCCACTGGTTGCTCTCACCATTATGATCTTTAGATTATATTTTTTCCTTCAATAATGAATTATCAACAAATATAAATTCTGTAGATTTGTGACCATGATGTATGTCCCTTGAGAGACCAATGCCAGTTAACAGTGAGAGCAAACAGTGGTATAAATGGCCTGCCATAGTTAAGTCCAACTTAAAGTCAATCTAAGTCTTTGTGAAACACCCCCCAGGAACACTACAGTAGAAGGAAGATGGCATACCTCTGAGATGGTCTTGAAGGCAGCGCTCTTACTGATATCCTCTCCTGACTTGCTGACCCTCTCAGCAGCACCTTTAGCCGTCTTGGACAGGTCATCCATTCCCTTCTTGACCCACTCCTGCTTCTGTGCTTCTTCTACACCCTGTATGTGGGGAAATAAACATAAAATTAGATTGGCACAGAAAAAATACAAATAAATAACTCTACTTGAGCGTATCAAAACAACTATGTCTCTCAAAGCAGTCATTAATACTATACTATTCTATGATTACTTTTCTACCCTCCCCCTCCATGTATTCCCCCTACTTTGACCTTTCAAAATAAATGAAATGAAATATTTTCTGCACAAATCATCTCTTTACGTACAGGCCTACTAGACCATGGTACTAGTAAGCATCTATCAAGGTGCATTACATCAGTATTTTGATATTCTTGGCTTGTGTCCATGTAACAATTACATGTCGTCACTTTCAGGCTGTCAATCATACCTTGGATACTTTGTCCTTGATGTCATCAAACGTGTGCCTGAATGCAGCAGACCCTTTAGCTGTCTCCTTCTCCAGATTTTCCTGTAAAGATGACAACAAAAAACTTTTAAAGACATGCCTAAATAATAAATATTGTCACGGTCTAAATTGAAACTAGGATTATACGACAATGGTCTGAGGTAAATTTCTAACACTAGTCAAATTCCAACCCTGGTCCAAATCCTAAAACCAACTTGAAAAACAATTGCAACCCAAGCCCTAATCCTGTCTGTTTGTGTCAAACCTATATATATTACAAGTCTTACGTGGAATATGCATGACATCGTAGTACAGAACAACGGCAGACCTTTAAAAGCTGAGAACCCCTTTTCATCATCACAAAAGTGTGTATTGGAGAATGGAACTTGGCTTGATTTCATGGGCTCACAAGTTTATACTTTTTCAGAATTCTCACTACAAACCAAAAATAGATGATCCTACATTCAAAATCAAATCTACCTAGAGATATCTACTAAGGATATAAGATGCATTTCCTGTGAGTTTGGTCCTAACTGTTCTCTGATTCAATACTTCAATATATCAATAGTGTACTATGGGTCCATCAGCAAAAATAAAGTTATAAATCAAACTCACAAATTTCTTCCTTGCTTCCTGGAGGGCATCTGACTGTTCAAGTTTCTCTGCCTCCTCTCTAAACTTCTTGATATTGTCCTGTCATGTAAAAGAGAAAACATAGTAAATACATAGCTACATGTAAACTGCTATTCATATAAATAAGAAATATAATAACTGCAATTGTTGTTTAATAATGCCTGTCTAATTACATTGGAGTAAGGTCAGAATCATAAAACAAAATGGTCATTTTAAAATAAGGTAATTTCTTAAGATATTGCAACTTATGGAACAATAATATTAACAATATTTCATAATTTTGCAGATATGAGACTTGTAGAGAGGAAATTTTCTTCACATTGATGCATCTATGAGGTAGGTATATTACTATATTTAAGTAACTGGAAATTCTGCTATTCTTATTTCAAAGTAGTTATTTCAACAACATATCCTTCTATATGGCAAGATATATGGAATTGAATGTGTCCGGAATGTCAAGGCAATCTTACCTTCATTTCTTTGTTCTTGTTTATTTCCTGCTTGATATTATCGATGAAACCTGATATGAAGCCTTTCCTCTGAGACTGCTGAGAATAACATCTTGCCTGGATATTTGATCAGAATGAAAATTTATTACATAAAACACTTTTCAAAAGATTATTCCTTTAAAAGAAATACAATATATAAAACACATGTTTAAGATCAAGAGATAAACAAAAATGTTAAAAGTTTTCTAAAAGCAAAGTATCAATCAATAAAACAATTTTACAATTGAGCAAAAAGAGTTTTAAATAGCTATTAGTCTAATCCTCTCATTCATCATCTTATATTTTCCCCTTTCTTGTCAAAGGTTCACTCTTTTAAAACAACAGTCTACCTTGGATAATTTGACAATTTAAAACTTTTAAAACAAATTACTAGAGTTCAATGATAAATAGTTATTACATAAATAAAAATCAAATTTCTTTGACTTTACTTCAATTCCTTAACTAGATCAAACAAGAAGTATGACCCACAATCACATTATCGTCATGATTTAGTAAATGTATGTGACTGGCTCACCCCTACCTGTGTTAACCTGACATCTAGCTGTTGATTTGTGAATGTTTTACCATCTCCATTCTCGCAGACAGAATTAGCTGAAGCCCGAATAAGGGGCTGCAATCTCCGACATCTAGAAATGACACAAACCTGCAAGCAAAATGCAGATAAATAATTATCAGTCAGCAGGAGGGCAATGCTTAAAGTTGGTTAAAATGGGGCGATAATCTCTCTAGTCTCTACATTTGGAGATCTATTATATAATAATTATTCAATTTAGGTGGATCTTCTTCTTCGACTTTGTCTTTTCTTTTTCTCCTTCCTTTTGAGTACAGACCTCTTTACAGAGAATTATCGTACTAGTATAATGGGGGTGTGTGCAGGTTTAATTAATATGACCAGATCAGATGAGGAGATGAGTAGACTAGATCTAGACCCAACTTTTTAAGAATAGATTTTCCATAGCCAGGCATAGGGCATAGCACAGGTTTTCTTATATTCTACAACCGAAGAGTCTAAAGAAATTTGAGGCTGTAAAGGGAGTAGCGCTAGCTTTTTCTCTTCCACAGAGACTTCCAGTCGATGACCCGACGAGTGCGAGCGCGCCGGTCGGGTGGGTCGCGCCACCGACGCCATGTCATAGAGATATATAAGTATATATCTCTATGCGCCATGTGTACCTCCACCGCAAACCATTACACAAATTTACATACATGGGACAACGTGTAATTGGCCTTTCCTCCATGCGAGGAAACACTCGAGACTGTATTAGACCCTTTTAAAGTCTACATTATTCATCATTATAAAACTACTTAAACGCAAACATACACAATAAATTGGCTGGTAACCATAGTACCAAAATCTGATACTATCATAGTAAAATTGACATGAATTTGTCATTTCAAACACGACTTACCTGGTGGCTCAATTTTCCTATGGAGGCAGACATGTTGGATACTTACGTCATAATGGCTTGTGCAATATCACCAAAAAATTGCTTTAATCTAGATTTGATGTTCTTCTTCTCCTTTTTTTTCCGTTCTTTATTTTTTGTCAGAAAATTTCGGGATTTTAAAATATTTTTCTCGAGAATGTAATTTCAGAATGTTCGGAGTCCTAGCATCTCGTTCAATGCCGGGGATCGGAGGGGTAGAGGGGCGGAGGGGTGGAGGGGGGCGGAGGCTCGCTCGCGGGGCATTACAGAATATTTATTGGCGTTTCAAATAAAACACCTAATTTGCACGAGGGAATACAAACGTTTTATCACTTTCAAGTCTAGCACCCCATCTTATTTAAAGTACAAGTCCACTCCAAAAATAACTTACTTTCAATAGAAGCAGAACAATCAGACAAACCAATCAAAACAAGTTTGAGCAAAATCGGATAACAGGGGCGGATCTAGCTTTTTGCTAAGGGGGGGGGGGTTGATCAAAATAATGACGATGCGGAGCATCGTCCACGAGCCGCAAAGCGGCGAGCCGATTTTTTTTTGGGTGTTTATTTGAACTCCGTAAGTGATGTTTTCCTGGCATCTATTAACACAATGGAGACCATAAAAAGCAGTGCATGATAACGTCTTTTTAAATCAAGTAACAGTTAATACACAGTTATATCCAGAGTTATCATGTGTTTGGTTAAGTTACCAGATGAGTTGAATATCTTCTCACAATATTTGCACTTGAAAGGGTTTCTCTCCAGCGTGCGTTCTTTTTTCTTTCTTTTTTTAAAATTACAAGTTTAAAAAAAAAGATAAGATTTAAAAAAATGGTCCCCGGATTTTTTTTTTTTTTTTGGGGGGGGGGGGGGGGTTGCAACCCCCCAACCCCCCCCCCCCCTCTAGATCCGCTTCTGGATAACTAATAAGAAAGTTATGCAAAAGTTATGAAGACTATGGAACAATGGTTATCATTACACAAATTACCAATTTGGTTACCAGTTGGTGACGTGATCTCCTCACTACTTATCAATTGCTTTATATAGCTTGAGTCCCATTAATTTCCCTTTTTATTCCCCAAAACTTGATTTCCCCATGCCTTTGCCCAGGTTATATGATTTGTATCATATTGCGTGCATAGCATTTTACAAAATCTTTTATGAACTTATACTATTTATAACTAGAATTTATGCTATTTTTAAAATATTGTATATTCATAATTATTGATTTTTATATGAATACTATCAAAATTCACATTTTCCATGATTTAACTGGAAAAAATACACTATATTAGTGCATCCAAACAAAACATATCAATCTAACTTGGATGCTGGTGTGAAGAAATAAGATTCTTAGGGGGGGGGGGGGGGGAATAAGAAATTTATATTATCAATATAAAGACAATAATGAGTGAGTAGCCAATTAATTTTCAAAGTTTTTCATGTCACTAAAAATTCATAACTTTCATATTAGTTATCCGATTTGGCTCAGTGTTTGATTTGTTTGTCTGATTTTTCTGCTTCTATTGAAAGTAATTTATTTTTGAAGTGGACTTGCCCTTTAAAGACACAAGAAGACTTTCTAATAATAACAAGGCGCCTGGTCTGCATTCCCGAGAAAGACAAATGAGCTTGAGCATTCAGAGCTCTATTCGGTTAATTATTTCTTTATTTCAAGTTATTTGTATAAAATATCTATTCTGATAGGGAACCTATTGATCATAGTTACGGCTCTGATAAGTACAATCAAGATTTCCGAGCCACGAAGTGCCTCACTGCTTCTTGTCTTGAAATCAAAGTCAAGCAGATGCATTTTATAGTTGGGCCATGCAGTCGGCACTGGGATGGGAGACTCAGTTGCTCTCTTTGTTTCTTTTTTCCTTTTTGTTAAGAGAATCAGTTTGGGTCGAAACCTAAGTCTTAAATGATTTATTGTATTAGTATGCTACATAATTGAGAGCGTATAATACCAATTAAAGACGACATCATTTTTTTTAAAGTCATATAAAATCAATGTTACACGTTTGCTTTTAAATGTACAAACATCCTGACAGGGGAGAACGGAGTGAACTGGGACAGAGGAATGTAGAGCAGCTAATCTAACTCAAAAAGTAATCAACATTTTTATAAAATAAATATTTAAACATCCGTACAGCTATCCCGACAGCTATATCGATTTTGCATGTAATTTGGTTATCACTTTTTTAAAAAAACCACTTTTCCCCTTGTATTCGGCGTTCACAGTCAAAGGTTTTAACAAGATGAACTTATAGCTGTTCTAAACAACCTGCATACTAGAGAGGTCTGTATAATAATAATAATAATAAAGTCATTTTTATATAGCGCATAATAATAAAGTCTCTATGCGCTTTACAACAATCAATTATATAATAAATTACATGATTGATCTAAAGATTTAATAATGCCATGAATTAGCAGATTGAAATACATATCGTATACAATGATGACAAAATCAGATATAATATAAATGATATAAACTTATGAACACAATTATAATAGTTAAATATATGACCCAACTCAGGCAATAATATTTTGATGTGACGCATACTCTAAAAAAAAATAATGTTGGCGTATTTTGTTAATGTTGGACATTCAGTCCTATTCCATCTCATTTACATTCTGTGTATGTTAGGAAAGTAAAATTTAACCAGTATAATCCATCATCGCATCTCATAAGAATGGTCAGGTATTAGTTGGTGTTATAGTAGGTGTTATAAACTTGCTAATCATAATATTCCTGTTACAGACTGTTCAGAATACTTTTAAAAGACTTATTTGTGTATACCAAACACGGTTGTATATTAATGTTACCCCCAAAATCGGTGTTATTGTGTACAAAATATCGAAATTTAGATAGGCTAACAAAACTTAGTATCCACTATTTGTATTTTTACAACGGGATATATACATCGTTTGGTAAGATTTACAGGTGACTTAACATTTTTTTAGATTCTTGTCCTACTTTCTCCCTGACCGCCCTCTTCATCCATACTAGCACTGTCTTAGTTCAACCGGAGATCAAGTGATTGAAAGGTAGGGAGTGTCTTAATTATATGCCAATATAATTAAGAATATATATGAAACAGAGTTAAGTCTTTTGTTAATTTCGTTTATTGATACGGCAGGCAGCCAGTGAAAACGAATTCGTTTAATAAAATTATGGAAATGCAAGCACTACTTTAAACAAACAGAACTTTGTCATTCCTCGCTCATTTTTCCTGATTGAGGTGTATGAAAGGGCAGAAACTCAACTTTCTAGAAATTTGAATTTTTCTTCGAAATTCAGATACCGCCCGCCAAATGTCTTTTTGGTTTCCTTCCTTCAAATTGCTTTTAGTCACTTATGCGTAAAATATGCGTTATTTGAGTAGCATCACATGAAAGAGGGGACTCTAAGCTTTCCAAATATGTATCATTCATTAATTATAGTTGTGATTAAGTTATGATAGAACATCGATACTTCTCGGTTTCGTTTCTTCTGGGACGCACTGTATGATGCGGAAGAATGTAAATATTACGCTCTGTCCTTGCTTTATACATTTATCTCTTTTTCTCTTCGAGACACCATAGTTTTATTCAGCATCAGATCAGCATCAGAAGTAGGCGGACAGACGGACCGAGGCCGAGGCAAGATTATTTCGTTTTATTCAGTTGACTGCTATTATTTCCATTACTGTATATTTGTAATATGTTTGATTGTTGTTGTGGATTGTACTGTCATTAAAATGAAATTGATGGAATTTAGTTTGTTTATACTGAGATCGAGTATTTTGCCTTACAAGTTCCGTCTGCCAACTCGTTTGTAAAGCCCCTGCAACAGAGCTTGATTCCGCTCCTAAATCACGCCGCAGCTGCAGGCGCTGGCGTCGAGAACAACGCGGGTACGGGTTTGCATGGCTGTGGAATCTGGTCCGTTTGTTTGAGGGCTATCTCGCTGAGGACTACTACACTACACTACTAAACAAGCAAGCTTGATGATAATTAGAAAGACATAACCGTCTGATATGGGTCATTTCTATAATAAAACTGACATTTGTTGTCATTCCCCATACACAGACGGTAATCCAGACGACTCGCACTGGGGGGATAGATTGGCCAATTTTTAGGCACTTGTTCAGAAACCTATCCAAAATTTGACCCGTAAACTCCTGCGTGGAGAATGGAGATACTAAACCCTACTAAACCATACCCAAAATGAAGTAAATATTCATTAAATGTCAAAATAGAAATCATGAGTTAAAAGTTGTTATGACTTAGTTTATTACATGTGAATGTGATGTACCTGTTTCGTGTCAATTTTCTTGTTATTTTTGGAGTATTTTTTTGGAAAAACATTCATATTAGTATATGCTTTTTCACAGGTTTCACAGCAAACCGCTACACAATACAAGTGCATACCGATGGTGGGTTGCGGGCGGGCGCTCGCCTGTGTGAAGTTATCTACCGTAATGAATATCTCAGCGTTTTTGTAATGTAAATCGCATGTTGTTAGCTCATTAACTTTGTACAATGTGGCCAAAAATCAAGGCTTCAATGCCAAAAATGGCCATCAATATTTGGGAAATTAAAATCAATATTGCCATGGCAATCCAATTTTTTGTTATTTTTTTTTTTTTTTTTTGGGGGGGGGGGGTTATTTATAAAATAGTTAAAAAAATGTACTTCAACTTACTACTTCCATGATTTTATTAAAGGCATCATTTAACAATGTTAAATCTGAGATGCACGGCCCTACCTACGTGTTATCAGTGTCTGTGATATGGTGTAATATTGAAGCCCTAACAAAATTGCACTTCAAAATGATCAAGAAATGCCTCAAAAAAGTGAAAATCTGTGAGTGACCGGTTTTACCATACCTGTACTCGTTTTCCTCAATAGACTGTAGTGTTATCAAAACCGTTAGGAAAACGCAAAATTTGATTTTGATTTCCAATCATATATATCTTGATAATCAGACAGGCAATCATCTTGTAAAATTCATAGGGTTCCCAGATCTGCCAACCAGTAGGATTTAGTCGTATTTCGTACGATTTTTAGAAGCAAATACGACAGTACGATTTTCCTCAATAAAATATGATTTTCAAAAAACATTTTTTAAATTTTTTTTTTTTAAATAATTTTTTTTTGTGTCTGTGCCATTTTCAATGGCAAAATGTCCATTCTGTCCTGTAAATTATCCTACAAGCATCTCACATCGGCAATTTGGGGATGTTCATTGGTTCATCGAACTCCACAGTCATGACGAAATCATGCATATTCAACCAATGATCCATAACAAAATTCTTCCTGTATGTAGGAACTGTAAGAGGCATTGATCCGTGTAAGATAGTCCGTGTTTATTTTTAAGAATACAACTTTTGTCAGTAAAATACAACTTTTGGGAATAAAGAATACAGTTTTTGAACTCCAGAGGTTGGCAGGTCTGGGTTCCTGGCTGACCTAAAGGTTTATAATTATCATTGCAGCATGAGCTAAATCCAGGATTTTGTTTCAGAATCTGAGACAAAGTTACCCAATCCCTTTAAGTAATTGAAAAAAATTCTGGAAGAATAGTCCTAAAATTTGAATTTTATTTAAAGGTAATTCAAAGTTTTGGGAAATTTCTAAAATTGGGTGAATAGTGATTCTTTATAATTTTAATATATTTGGATGCCCCTGCGGATCTATTATAAGCACCAGAAAATGTAGCCACTAAAAAACTTCTGCTTCCAAGAAAAATTGAATATAAAAAAATTATTGGTGCTCCTGGTAATTTTTGATAAATTTGAAATAGCGCCAACGGCCATACAATGGTAGCTGCAACCATGAAAATCTCAGAATATGTAGTTGTGATAAAAAAAGTTCCAAAGTGGAATAGTTAATCAGTCGATTTTAGTCAAGAAACATTGTTTTGTAGCTTAATTAATATCTTGACCTTTAGAGGGAGCTATACAACATTAAGAGTTTATTATTTACAATTTCATAACTTTAGACTCGATTTCAACCGTGACAACGATCTTTAAATGTTGTAGGATTGCATATGCTTCCAATATGTTCATTTGATCAGACCCCATAACAAAACTTTGTATTACCGGTACTTTTAAGTGGCAAAAAAAAAACCTTCCTTGCTCTAGATTTACATGTCCTATCTGGACATTTAGAAAAGAGCTGTGATTGTTCTAGTTGTCTTCGTTATCACAAGTTGCGATAAAGTTTAATCAATCACAATTTTGAATTTCCTGACAGAGAGTGTAGATTTAGACCTAGACCTACATGTACATGTATTGTAGATACAGAATTTAGGGATTTTGGGATGTTTTCTTAGATTTACTCCATCTGAGATGAAATGTGATACATGTAGGTGAAGTCAATGTACATGTACCCTTAAAATCTTTTATAATCGATATAGATCTATTCTGAAAAAAATTATATTAGACGTACCGGTAGCAAGATTTTGTGATTACCAAACACAAATGTTTGTATACGGTATCTTGTCCTTGCATTATTTCCAGCCACTAGAATCATCTTCTGCAAGTGTCTAATGACTGTGGCAAAATAGTGTATTTTTGCCTATTTTCTACTGTAAAGTGCAAGACTTGCAAGTGCTGTTTTGTTTGGATTTACTTAAAAAGTGACTTTTTGAGTTTCATGGTTGTTAGTGCATAATCATGAGCATCGTGCAGGTATATAATTTTGTTGTTGTCGATTTGTTGATTTCATCTACCAACCGCAGTACAGTAATACATTTCATACAATGTGTTTACAATCATATACAAGAAGAGAAACTATTGGTTGGTGTTCATTATCCATAATCCAGTAACTCAGTCTATATTGGTTTAACCTTATCGCATGAATAAAGCCATACCAGCCCCAAAAATATTATACCTGTTATGCGTCCTAAATCAATCATGTATACTCGCAAGGCATGCAAAAGTTAATGAGATTGGGATCTAAGGCTCTTAGTATACCAATTTATCTGAAAAATGGGATATGTAGAGATAGAATCATGCACAAAATTTTGATCACTAACCTTGACTGGATCTACCACATGTATAGGGTAGTTTTATGAGTCATAATGACTGTGTGCATGACTTAATGCAACAAAACAAATAATATAATATTACCGTATTTAACTATCTCATCAGTCATGTGATAAAAAAGATTGCATGGCAAAGCATTCTGTTGCCCTATCAACATTTGTCTAGAATGTTTACAGGAAAAAAAGTCAAGGTTTTTTCTGGGAAATTACAGGAATTTAGGGTAGTAAACGACATAATGCAAGAAAACAAATAATATAATATTTCTGTATTTAAGTTTCTCATGTGATAGAAAAGATTGCATTGCAAAGCGTTCTGTTGCGCAACATTTGTCTAGAATTTGTACAGGAAAAGAAGTGGAGGCTATTTCTGTCTTTCTGTTTCTAAGATGTAGATCTTGATTGTAGTAAAGCAGAATCAGGGCCCCGTTTCATGAAACTTGTTATTAATAACAATGGCCACAGATCTATGGACAAATCTGACCCTAGCCAATCAAATGTAAGGATTTCAGAAGCTTATAACAGTTATCATTCCTTGTTATTGATGACAAGTTTTATGAAACAAGGCCCAGTTTTGATTTCTCAAAAGCTACAATTCATACAAACTCGACTGCCTTAATACAGAATTTGAAGAGAAAAATGCAAATAAATTCTTCTAGACTCATAAAATCAGTATGTCACAGTACTTATTGTGTATGCCTTTAACAGGCCTGTTTGCCACTTTAAACAGGTTTTCTTAGATGGAATTTTCTCATGTGTATAGTCAGAGAAAGTATATTCTCTGATTCTGCATACAGATCTGTACTTATTTGATGAATCTTGTATTCAGTTTCTTCAAATGATAAGAAAATCTTGTATTCTGTGTCTTGAAGTAACAAGAAAACATTGAAATTTGTTGATCGAGTGCTGCAAAACAGATTCTTTTAAGAGCAGTCAAGTGTCTGTTTCAGTATGATGTACGGTACATGTATATACAGTGAACAACTAGTCAATTCATACCCTTACCAATTATTTCATAATTTGTTAAGTATGTGAAAAACTGATTTGTCTCGATTTATGCTCTTCGAGAATGTGACATGTTATTATTAGAGCTTACATCATTCATTCTTGAGTTGCGAAAAACACAAAAAACAATCAAATTTACAGTAGGTGCGAATCATTCAGTTTTTAATTGTATATCCATGTACTTGATGTACATGCATCAATAGTATACCCACCTATTGTGTCTCAATTGTAAACATAGGCATGTTTGTTGTAAATGATGTAAGTGCCAAATATAGCCATTGTGTAGCATGCTTCTGAATAGGTCTTTAAATCCCTGTACAGTGCACTCAGCTTCCATACCGGTTGCTCATTAACTATGCTCTCAATAGACCAATTCATGGTTGTTTTCATAAGCATACAGCAACTTAATTATAAACAAGCATTGACTGGAGTTATTGTATTTTAATGGCTATAGTTAGAACCCAGGAGTAAGGTATGCATAACTTTAAATGTTTACACTTTGAATGGATGTGTTTTTATTCAGCAATTTTTGTTATGATTTCTTTGAGAAGACAGATTGTAAGTTATCTTGACATTAATAATGACTGTTTGATTGCTTAAAAAAGATTGAGAATATAAGAAGTATTTGGGGATTTTGTTGGATTCAGCTTTTTTATTGTATTACTTTATTAAACATGAATTATAGGTACATTAATATGTATTTTCCATGGAGACTTGTCTACTTACAAGACTTAAATGATGCTCCTATTTGCCAAACATAATTTATAAGAAGTAAAACAATTTTGATTTGATTTGATAAGCAAAAGAACAATCTGACAGGGAGAGAGAGAGAGAGAGAGAGAGAGAGAGAGAAAGAGAAAAAGAGAGATGGACTTCATCATGCGCTGAGCCTGTTGAGTAGAGACACAGATTTATGGAGTAAGAGGCCTGGGGAAGCAGTGTCATTTGTCTAACATGATGGTCCTTATCCCCTACATTAAATGTGTAATGTTGTCTGGCACTCAACATGATTAGTCGTGAGGAAGCAGAGAGAAATAGACAAAGGAGAAGGAGGAGGCAGAGGAGGAGAGAGGCAGATTGAAAAAATGATTTATTTATTTTTTACATATATAGAAAGAAGAAAAGGGAATTCATAAGGAAGTAAAGATAGCTGAAAACATGGATTCTTGTAGCATCAAGAGAGAACAGAGGAGAGAGAGAGAGAGAGAGAGAGAGAGAGCTTGAAGATATGAGTCACAATGACACAAAAGGAAAGAGATAGAGAAAGACAGAGAGAAGTAGAAAGATTTAGAGATTGCTGGAGAGAGGAGCAGCAGAGAAAATGAGATTGTGGCAACCATGAATCCAATTGTCATTTCCTGGATGATATCGTATTCCACTAGTCTGATAATAGTCCACATAGTCTTATCTAATGAGAAGTTGCCTTCTTACGAGGTCTTCTTCGCTTTGCCAAGTAAAATACAAAACAAAGAAATACTGGCCTAGCTTTCCTCAGCTGCGTGCCTTCCTTTGCAGCCTTCTTCAGGCACTTCTTATGCAAACGCAGAGCACGATGAGTACAGCCGTTTTATGAGGCTCCACAATAGCCTCGTTATCATTAAGTTATCAACTCTATCATGAGCACAGTGGGATCCACCCAGCTAGTTACACATTGACTAAAAGATCTTGCTATTATCAAAGTGCAAAATCAGTATCTCGCTAGCTGATGAGTGAGTGGGGAAACGTATTCCAGTCTCCACCAGGATTGAGTAACTAGATAGATGCTCATTGATTTGTCCATGTGCTAGCTGTACAGTGCTTCAGATCATTTAGCTACATGTACTTCTGCTACAAGGAATTTACATTTGAAGGAATTAAAGAGTAGGTGTGGTATTCATGTACATGAATCCGTTTTTATTCTGTTCTTCTTCAAGCTGCAATACCATTCAATTCTGATCTACATGTAGGTATACACTATGTTCAACTGATATACATTTGCGCAAGTGGAGATTACGATGACCGTATCAGATTATTTGTGAACTTCACACTTAAATGTTTGTATGCTATCTCCTATGAGTAATTCTTTAGGAGGATTATAGTTGAGGACTTTGTTATTTGGGGTTGAGTTCAACATTGGACAACAAGCAGAATTTCTTTTCTTCAAAACTACCAAGAACTGTAAACAACAAAATCTCTAAGTGCATGGTCGAATCTATTATGTTTACAGTATAATGAATGAAAAGTAAATATTCTAGGTGTAAATGCATGTCTTACTTGGAGCATATACATCCTTTTGGGGGTGGAAAATACAAGATGGCATTTTTGCTGCAACTCTGTAAACATGGAGGCCTTATATTAGTGATTTAGAATGAAAATTTCATGGTAAATTTTGAATAAACTGATTGAGGTCGTACATTTTTTAAGACAGTGTGTGTTACCCCAGTGAATTTCCACCTGAGATTGCATTGCCCATTTACATTCAGAATATATTGTTGATATGCACGTACATGTACATGTAAGTTAACGACTAAATTATTCACTCACCAGGTTTTGTAAATCTAAGTATGTGATTAATTGATTTGTCCCAATTTTATGTCTCTTGAGAAAGTAACTTATTAAAACTTTCTTCTAAAAATAAAAATAAAAGTATTCAACATAGGCCCTAATTCAAACAGTCCACCTTTCATTCTTGAGGTACGAAAAACACAGAAAATATCAAATTTACCAGGGTATGAATAATTCAGTTGATAACTGTAAGATGCCATTTGTCTAATGATTGAAAATTGTATTTGTAGTGCAAGTATGGTAATTCAGTCCTAACATATTGTTGAAGAATTTTTGTTTAATAAATATTTGTTTTTTGTTTTTTCAATACACAGACATGCTGTTGAGTACACGTACTTGAGCATTGGAAAAAGCAGGATATGGCTGACTAAGGATCGAGCACAGCACATACACGCTTTTGGAGCACATCAATGATTCTCTGTGCATACATGATTACAAGTTGACAAAGGTGTACAATGTTATCTTTAATGGTGTGAGTGAAACACAGATAAAGGAAGAGCGTCACAGAATTTCCTCTTCTCCTTTCCTGGTATAATTAGGCTTTTCAAAATGGCTGCTGCCATTGATGATGTCACGGTAGACAAGGACTGCTCAGAAAATGACGAGGACCAAATTGAGGACCAAATTGAGGAGCAAATTGAGGACCAAGTTGAGGAGAAAAGTGAGGGAAACAAGAACCAGGGCTCGGAGCTCAATGGCATCGAATGTGAAGTGGACCACCTGAACATAGCCAGTAACAATTCAGCGCATGGGGACAGTTTGAATTCGAGGAACACTGGAAAGAATGATAACCTGGCTCAGTTTGGCATCCCTCAGTACTGCTGGACTGTACAGCTTAATCATAAATTCAGTGAGAAATGGCGGCCACTGACCATGGTCAGACCGCATCAGATCAAGAGCTTTGTTCTACCGTCTGTCAGGTAAACTAGCAGATTTAACATTAAAGACACACTGTACTACTTGTAGCTACTTGCTCCCTCTATATAGAAAACTTCCCCAATCGGTGCCTGTTGGTCCCCCATGATCCTCTTTTTCTTATATTAATTGAGAGCTGAGTTAATAATATAGCCACCTGTCAGTGACCTCGCTGTGTGGTCTAATCCCTTCTGGCTGAACTAGTACAGCCGGCCTTTAAAGAACCTGTTGTAAATGCAAATTGAAATAGATGAATTCTATATCAAGGGAAAGCTTGTACGCCATAGATTTAATTATCAATTATGCTATTTCAGTGTCTCTCAGAGGAGTAACGCCACTCTGAAAACATAAAATCTAAAGCGTTGAAATTGCAAGATGTCGACCAAAAAACTAGCTGTGGACTTGATGACATCATCTTACAGTATATGGAGTACCCATATTCACTATGACTTTGCATTAATTAAGTACTTTTCATCGCCTACATGTACATGGATACTGGTATTTTCAATCTAGTGATATAATACTTTTTGAAATGTTAATTGCTACAAAATGGACATGATTATTTCTCCATCAATTTAATTTGTGTCAGTTAATTGGTTTAAGTGGAAGCTCTTTCCCTATCATTGTTGTTTCTGTTCTGCATAATTGATTGAATTCCATTCATTTCAGATACGCCCAAATGCACTTGAAGATGTGGCGCGGAGGAAAGAGGCCTTTCATTGATGTGTTACATCCTATGAAATTCAAACCCGTATATGGTAAGCGGTAGCACTGTGTCACAGTTTTCTTTCAGATATTCTTTCTACAAATTCACTTGCTATTTTGATATGAAGAGGATATATACAATGTATTATATACACTGTACATATGTGCAAGTAGTGTTGGAAATCTTAAATTCATGTGCTGTTATTAGTATACTATGATTATTCTTAAACACAATACCAGAGTTCTGATATTGACATTGATAACTGGGGTCATAGAGCAAAGCCCACATGTATTCATCTGTCTGTATTTCTCTTATCTATGTTTAATTACTTCTGTCTCTTTTTTTACCCTTGTGCTATCTGTCCCTGTGTCCATATTTCTATCTATTTCTCTATTTGTTTATCTGTACTCGTACAGGTGTACCGGTGGGTGGTATCGGGTGTGGTGCAATAGATAGAGGCTGGAAAGGGGACTTCTGTAGATGGTCTTTATCTCCAGGACGATACACTTATGATAATGTGGAATTAAATCAGGTAGGCAGACTTATCTTATTTTTACGATTGCACTGCATCATGGTTGGAGGCGATACAAGGTGTCAAGGAAAAATTCCTGATTTTAACCACCATATACCGGTAACAATCATTTTACCCTTTAAGATTAGCTTGGGTTCTGGTAATGATAGAAAATAAATTCTCAAAGAATCCAACAAAAGTTACACTGAATATTCAAGTTTACAATTAAAGGACATGTGCCAAATGATGTAGGAAGAAAATGTATACAGGCTGAGTAATGAGCATAGGAAGATAAGGACATCAAGGTACATGGCCCGACACTCTGTGCTTAACACAGGTCACTGTGTGCAAAAGAGAGTGGTGGTTTTTATTGAAGATGATTTCCAGCAAGTTTTTGTGAGGTTGTTTTCATTTTATCAATCAATCTACTGCAGTATAAACAATCCAGAATGAATTATAGCCACGTTCTCTCGACATACGAGGCCCATACCAGAGCTCAAGATTAGCTTTAAAGACAAACCAAGATTCCTACTATAAATGCAAATGGTAGATCAAAATTGTTATTGAAATCAATTGAACCATGGCATGTTATATAATAAACACTTGTACTTCAAGGATGAATTGATTGAATTCAGAAGTGAGGATTTATTTTCCATTTTTTAAACAGTGTAGCTGGATTCATTGAACAATTCTGTAACACTGTCATTTGGTGTACACATCAGGTGTTTCTTGGCAAATAAATTCATTTTGATTTCTCTTTTATTGCTAATCATATCAGATTTGATTGGACTCATGTAATTGGCCACTTTTGTAGAATCTGTGCTCTTTTGTTTTGATAATGGTTAGCTATGCATTTAGATTGGCTACATGTTTGGGTAGCCATGTAGATCCAAATTTGGCATGCCGTAGATGTCATACTTGTAGGGTGTATCAACCTCTCTGTACTCCATAAATATCTTCTAGCGATTGTTATTTTCAAAATGCCAAGGCAAAGAAAGCATTTTAATTTGATTAAAATTCCAAATTCAATTTAGTATTTGTCATTGCTGGTCTCATTGGACCCTTCTAGCTGAAGCTTTGAATCATCCTATTAATAATATTAATAGGATTGCTCTTCTTTATAAAGTTGTATTAAAGGATCTTGCTGTTATGAAATTGAGTTTTGGGATGACCCCTTTGTAAGAAGAACCAGAAACTCTTCCTATATTTAATTAAGTAGATTGATTTAATTTGCGATATTGTTAAGATTATGAACAGAATAAATTTATTGATATAATTTGCTTTTTGCTTGTTGAGTTAAAATTAGTATGACAAAATGGGAGAAAGTGCAAGAAACTTACTTCACATACCCTGTACAGCATAGAATTGAACGCATATTTTATATAACAATGGTACATGTAACATTTGCTAAGATTGTTAAATCTAAATCTTGTAGAAAATGTAATCTAGTTTCTATAGTGATAAAGCAGTTGGTGTCAATGTGTGGTATCGCAGGTCTCTAATTTGCTTTGTGTTCCAAGATAACATACGGTAATGTGATTATAAATATCTATTGGGGAAAATGAGTACCTGTATGGTAAACCTGGTCACTTAAAGAATATTACTATTTTGAAGTACTTCATGATCATTTGGAAGCGCAATTTTTTTAGGGCTTTAATATTACACCATTTCACAGACACTGATAACATGTAGGGCCATGCATCTCAAATTTGTGAAACTGTATCGTTGTTTAAAAATGCCTTTAAGTAGGAAGTTGTCCATTCTCCTTAATGCAGTTAATGTTTAATCACCTCCATACAAACCTGTGGTTCTACAAGTGGACAATTAGGCTGTAATGGAGACAGATAAGACAGTGGGTCATATCCGTGGCATGAGGATGATTTATTCGTGCTTGGGCGTTGATTATTATCCAGATGACAAAGTCCACTACTTCATTCCATTAATACCTACATGTATAACCTTAACATCATTACTGTATTTCTCAGGATCTAAGGCTTTGTTTGCAGTTTGGTAGGATGTCATAGACTTATAAAAGAAGGAAAACAAACCCAATCCACTTTATCCACATAAATGAGAATAATAGCCCAATGTTTTCAGTTGGACTTTAATATCTCATCATTATTAGTCTGTGATTTTTTCCCTTTGGGGGGGGGGGGGGGCCTCTGGTCTCCTCTATTATTGCCCATGGTATTTTGTTATGCCCAGTCTTAGATATTTTCTGCCAATTTTGTCTAAATATACCATTTACGATAACATTCTTACATTGTAAATTGATTCTTAATATCATGGACATCGAGACAAAATGACCATTTAGAAATTGAAGGAAATATTTGTTGCAAAAATTAGACTGATTGTTTTGTATATCATATGGATTTTACACATGTATGTCAGAACAAAATTGTTATCAAAGCACGCATACAATTGCACCAATTCTTTTCTTCAAAGCGATGAATTGTACAACCTTTTATATCAACGTGTGCAAGCGTTAGTAATGTGCAAAGTGTACATCTAGCTATATATTCCTTACTTTTTATTTGAGTCTGTGTTGCAGTGCTCAGCGTACTTATTTATTTATGAGTAATCAAGCGAAGTGCAAGAGCATTATTTATGCATGATGATTTACATTCAGAGTGTGTTTTAAGGATTGCAGGAAGCATGTGTGCGACTCGTTAAAGGGTGATAACTGAACTTTTCTAAAGAACATTTCATTTAATCTCTTCTTACACAGACAAGAGTCTATCAATCATTTCAGTTGATACATGTAAATGTACTTTCAAGTACATTTTTCCAGCGCTTCAAAAACACTTATATCCCTTGAAATTGATTATGATCGTAAAATTCATTAAAGACAATAATCCTAACACAAGAAGACATATAAAATCTCTCCTTCCCCCATAAAAAAGAAATAAAAAACACTGAATGAAAATGAGATACTAAAGTCGTTGAGGATTGAAGCATATTAAGGTGAAATGAAGTGAATTATCTAATACCTTGGCCAGCAAGGAAGTTTGAAATATGAGGCCACTAGTTCTATAGTGCGAATCTCAAATAGGCAGTTTGGTCAATGGATTGTGACGTAGTAGCAGATAATTCTCCCATTCGCCATGTACAAAAATACCATTAATATCTTTTTTTCTCTTAAGTGCATATTTCCTGGGGCACTACTCAAAATATGATATGGATATCATATTATTTTAGAGAATAGACCCTTCTGAGTCATACATTTTAGTCATTTCTCATTTTTTGTCTGATTTTATTCAAACTTTCACTAGTCTACTTCTCTGATTTGTTATGCTTTTCTCTACAGTAGTTTGCTATCAAGCTTGGATTTCACTTTAAATTCATTTATTTGTTTCCAACACACAGTTTACGGTGTGTGTGAGGCGAGGGGGTAAGACAGTCTACCAGCAGGTCCTGTCGCCGAACAAACCCCATAACAAGGACCTAGCCCAGGCCTGGGAATGGCAGTTTCCTGGTAACAGAGCGTCCTATCATGGTCTCTACCCCAGGGCCTGGACCAAGTACCTCCTACCGGGGCAAAATATCACCCTCGTTTGTCGACAGATCTCACCAGTCTTTCCTCACAACTATCAGGTTAGTATGTGAGCCATGGTGTTAAATATAAAGTACGATGATACTGTCTTCAATATCTTTTCATGTTCTACATTACTGTATACATGTATCATCTTTCAAAGAAACGTAGTTGAATGGAAGGATTTTAGCCATGTCAATTTGGCATTGATGTGAACTCTATGATGTGTCCATTTCTATATTGATACATGAAAGCAATATATTCTTAAGTGCATGTGACAGATCATATTTAGGAATTAAAAATACATGTACCTGCACGGTATGGTCTTGTAGTGCCTTGAATTTTAACACCCTTTTGCGGGTGGTTAATGACATGTGCGCAAATATCTATTTTTTTATTTTTTATTTTTTTTAGTTGTAAAAGTGTAAATTACATTTTTATTTTTATTTTTGTATAGCTGAAGGTCATTTAGTACTAAAGCTTTGCTCCTGGGCAAGTAGAGGATTAACGAATATATTAATTTGAGAATCCAGAACCTTCCGGTTCAAGTACCACTGTTTTAAAGATAAAGACCAGTTATGGTCATGCGATTGCATGTGAAAGAAACATTGTGGAATCGATCAGAAAAGGTTGATCATCTAGCATATAAGAATGTGTACTGCAAGGTTCTGGAATCATCCAAATGATAAGAAATATGGCCCAGTCTTCGTAAAGTTACAAGCACTGTACACAGAAAGATGTATATGGGACTATACGCACAGTGCACGACACTTGCATTTATCTCTCACATGTAGATAAACTAATTTACCAAATATATCAATTAGTAGGCGATTTCCTAGCAATTTTTTTATCATCATGCATTAGTCAAAACATATTCTTTCACATGATTGGTAATAAGAGCTTCCATTTCATTTTTTGAAATTGGGGCGTTTCCAATACTGGTCTTTACCTTTAACTATTGAGCTATACATGTATTGGTTTGTTCACATTGACAGGAGACTTCACTACCTGTGGGTGTCTTTGTATGGGATGTGTACAACCATGGCACTGCTGCTGCAGACGTCTCTATCATGTTCACATGGAAGAATGGCACAGGCACTTCTGCTGATAAGTAAGTTCTTCTGTTATGTGTGCCATCCTTCATGGTGAATTGCCGTTTGGTCCAAAACCAGTTCATATAATACCCAATTAGTCCATTCCAAAATGGTCTACACCCGGCCCGTCTACTATCCGCATGGTCTCATAATCATTTTTGTGTACTCATCATTTGGTCTAATGACCATTTAGGCAAATAGTCATTTGGTCTGTTACCATTTGGTCTACACCCAGCCTGTCTACTATCCACATGGTCTCATAATCATTTTGTCTACTCATCATTTGGTCTAATGACCATTTAGGCAAATAGTCATTTGGTCTGTTACCATTTGGTCTAATCTCCAATTATTGTACTACCATTTGATCTATTGTTCATTTAGTCTAATTGTAGACTATATGGGAATAGATCAATTGGGTAGTAGACCAAACGGCTATAAACCATCATTCAAATGCCCTTTGCCTGTTTTCAGGCCCTGACTTCTCTCTATTTCGGGCTTTTTAGGCTCCTTGTTGGAAGAAAACCAATGGTTGAAGATCTCAATGGCCCAAATTAATGATAATAATATGTCTTGTTTACCCAGTTGTTTGTGTGGTGTTTGATTAGGTGTTAAGGTAATTCAGTCAAAATTGACTATTTATGCCTAATCAGTATTTTTATAGCCTCATCAGTATTAAAATACTGTTCCCCCTGAGAGCCCTGCAATCATGTTATTACCCCAGCTTTAGCAGAGCTACCATGAAAAGGCGCTCAAGCATCCAAGGAATTCCTTCCTACCAGGTACCCATTTATCTCAGCTGGTTGAGCGTGGCAAAAGTAGATTAATACCTTGCCAAAAGAAAATTAGTGCCATGATGGGACTCGAAATGCGAACCATACCTCTACATAATTCACAAAGGAGGTTTGAGGAATTCTGCAGTAATGTTCTTGCGTACCAATTAGCTGCGCAGGGCCAGCTGATCATGTATTTACTATGACCGATACCCGGGGCCCGTTTCATAAAGCTTGTTATCTATAACAAATGCTACATTTCTATGACAAATTTGCTCTCAGCCAATCAGATGCCATGATTTCAGTAGCTTGTTATAGTAGCTTGTAACGTGTTATTGATTATAAGTTTTATGAAACAGGGCCCTGGAACTCCAAATATATAACCTGCTGTCCCTGCACAGTTAAGGTGCGCATGAACATTACTGCAGAAAGCTTTTGAACTTGCGGATTGAGGTTTTTCTAAACCTCATTTTTGCCTATTTTTCCCTATTTTGTAGTTTCTTTAGTAGTTATGAATTTGTCAATTTAGTTACTAATTATTCTTAAGTATCATTTGAGGGGTCCAACGTTGTACAAGCATTGCTTTTTAGTGGACCCCTCTGTTTCCAAAACGTATTCCTAAATTGTTGTAAATGTTTATAATTAATTTGTAATGTTTTATTGGAAACATAAATACGGTAAATTGAATTGAATTGCCTCCTGGCCCTCTTCTATTGGAATGAATTTCAGTCATCAAGCACATTTTAATATTGTTCATGAAGGGTAGGGTACAAAACAGGGTTTTTATCACCTGGTTGATATGATTATCATAAACATATGTGATTGATTTTTCTAACCATATTTTAACAATTTTGTCACGTTTCTTTGCCTGTTTAGGAAGGGAGGGAGGTGGAACACGGGGTTCTCTTCAGCCTCAACCTCAGGGGTGATGTTCCATGACGGACACCCTACACAACCATGTACTATGTGTATAGCAGCAGCTGATGGGGTAAGACAGGCCTAACAGCCATTTCTCTCAATTTCTAGAAACTTTATGATAGGTGAATTAAGAAAATAAATGTGCTTAGATCCTCACAATGCAATTATTTCTTCTTCATGTCGTCTGTTTGGAGTTATAAGGGTGTTAACTCATATAATTTTACACAGTGCCCTTCTGGCCCCTAATAGGCAATGTACATTTAAGGAGAGGAGAGCCTATAAAGAGTACTCAAATTCTATTTGGAATTATACTAAGAAAATATCCATTCGACTTGTATCTTGCTCAAAGTGATGAACTGTGAAGCATTTAATGGAAAGTTCTGAGCTACAAACAGATGGGAATTAGGAAAAATCTGTAGATCTATGGATTCAATTTGAAATCTTAAGGAGCAGTGTAGAGATGCAAGAAAAGTGATTTATGATATGATTTTAAGTTTTCCGCTGTTTTTAGCCTTCACGCAGGAACCTATTGAGATTGTTTCCAAAGTCCATTGAGATATATTAAACTTTATTTTGTTATAGTTTGAATATCATGGTCAAATAACATCCGGTTTCATTATACAGTCAAACCTGCTTTAGCGACCACCTGTATAGAAAGACCACCTGTCTATAGAGACCACATTTCTCGTTCCCCTTGAACTTAGTTTCTCATTGGAATCGGTAGTAAAGGAACCTGTACATAAAGACCACCTGCGTATAAAGACCACTTTTTATGTTTCCCTTGTATGCTCTTTATATACAGGTTTCACTGTACAAGTATGTTAGCATCACATAGGTTTTACCATCACTTACAAGAGATCTTATCTCAAGATGAATATTAGCTTTCTCCCCTCTCACTCTCAACCTTTCTCTCCCATCTCTCTCTGTCTCTCTCTCTCTCCTTGTGTAACAATACATAATATCATTGCCTTATTACTGATGAAAGTGCTTCTGTATTTGCCTACCAGGATGATGTCACCGTGACAACATGTGCATCATTTAATCCTTCATCTCAACTGAAAGAGCTTTGGAATGATCTCAAAGAAGATGGTCAACTCAACACAACAAAAGGTGGGATTACAATCTTGGCTGGGCTTGTTAACATGTAGATGTGTTTGTAGAGGTGTTGTGGTTGAGCGGATACATCACCAGACTGTGGATCACAAGGTCCGCGGTTTGAGTCCCGCCGCGGCACTAATGTCCTTTGGCAAGACATCGATCTACATTTGCCACACTCAACCCAGGTGATGTAAATGGGTACCTGACAGGAATTAATTCCTTGAAATGCTAGAGCGCAGTAATGGCAGCCATGCTTAAGCCAGGGCAATTTCCAAAGCTCTTTGGAAGCGCATTGAGGCGTTATAATGTGATATGCGCTATACAAGGACCAACAATTATTATTTTGAACTACCATGGCAACATCATTCAACAACAAATCAAATCAAGGTTTTCATTGAATTTACCACTAATGGCAAAGTTACCTGCAATGGGGCCCAAATATTATGAAAACTGTTGATATCTCAATCCTCTCTCTCTCTCTCACATGGTGCACCCGCAAGCCTACTGTATGTTGATATCTTTACCGTATAATTTTCAAAACAAATGAATCCTCCTGTTTTTCTTATGTTCCCATTAACCTCCTCTTCCATTGTCTGCCAGGACCTACTGAGCGTACAGAGAAGGGTGAAACCTTAGCAGGTGCTGTAGTATCATCACGCCACATAGAACCCAATCAACAAGGTCTCCTAGAGTTTGCTCTCTCGTGGGACATGCCCAAGGTTCAATTTGACAGCTGCTCGTACTTCAGGTAACCAATCTCTGTCTGGGACCAGTTTCACAGAGCCCTTTTTCAATGACAAATGACAAAAATCAGTGCCAAATCTGCTGACAACCAATCAGAAGCAAGGATTTCACTAGCTTATAACAAAAACTGTCATGTGTCACTGATGGCAAGTTTTGTGAAATGGGGCCCTGGTAATCACTTTGATAATAATAATTGATAATTGATGATTTATTTATTCTTGTTCACAAATGTGGGAATATGCTTTACACCAGCAGTAACATGCAATACAAGTGATCAAGACGGAAAGATAGAGTACAATAGAAACACATACAGGTATAAACATTCAAACAAACAAACAAATACATGTTTCATCTGCTCACAGAACCAAAGGGATGTAAACCTACATGTAACCATTTTATCTTCAAATGGATGTTTAATCTGTTGAGAGCCAGAAGGGTGTTCATGCTGTGATAATGATGCAACTTTACGCCCCTTTTGCACTGAACAGATGGTGTATTACATACATGTAAACAACCAAATGAGAATAACTCTACTCTAGTACATGTAGATTCTACACATTTCATGGCATCCAATACAATGAGAGAAATATGGATTCTATTTTTCTTTGTATAGAATTTGTCATTGTTTTTCTTGTATTTAGGGAACATTGTTTACTATGATGAATCTAGTTTCTTTTTGAGGGTTTAATTAATATATAATTAATGTTGGTTTTTTTTTTTTTATGTGAATGCAAGTTTATGCTACTTGTTGTTTGATATTTTCTCCTTTCATCTGGAATATACACATTTGTATGCATATGACTTCCTCCAGGAAATCTGCTAGATTTATGTGTACAAAGTATTTAACCACTGAGCCCAGTGCAGGCTTTTTCAATCTGTGATGCTCTTTAAATATGTCCAACATATAATTCTTATCAGTCCATATACCTTCATCTTTTGAAGCAAGTTCTTTGTCTGCTTACTCAGTCTTATGGCATATATACTGTCTTTTTTCATTATTACCTGTAGGAGATACACAAGATGGTTTGGTCGAGACGGGGACTCAGCACTGGCCTTGTGTAGTCATGCATTGGAGGAGTACGGAGATTGGGAAAAGAATATCAATGAATGGCAGAACCCTGTCCTTGAGAATGAGTAAGTCATGGTCAAGGTGGTCCTATGAGTCATGGCTGACCCTTTGTGTCCCTGGTCAGTTGTTTGGAGCTATTCAAATTTTCTGAGACAAGTATCTGAGGAGAAATGGACTTTAATATGGAATCTTTTAGGTCATATATCCTTGATTAGATTAGAAGGCATTGACCTCTTTTCTAACACTACATGCATTTACTGTTTTCTACCTTATTTCACATTTTAAACTTCAAAAGCATAATTTTTGGTCAATATTTCATTTTAAAATGGTTTCCTATAAGTATCAGTCTCAGAATGAACCAAAATTAAATTGTGCATGCATGGTGTTTTTGTTGGCTTAAAATCAAAATTCTATTGAAGGTAGTCGAACAGCCTTATCTAGGTATTTGCGCTTTAATAAACAAACTGATTATCCCAGTTGTAAAATTTTGAAGTATAGGCTTTGTGAAGTATAAGTTCACATTTAACTAGTTGACCACTGAGTTTTGTAATATCCATATCCGTAATATCCATAGTCGAGTCTTAGTGCAATTTTGAATGTAGGGAAGCAAGTAACCTGGAATTCATAACAATGACATGGAGACCAGGCATTTTCCTCTATTGCTCCTCGCCTGTGGGATTCCCTCCCATCATCTATTCTCGAAATTGACAACCTTGACCACTTCAAAGCTTCACTCAAAACTCACATCTTCCTTCCTTCAAATGCGTACTTTATTTGAGGAGCTTGCACATTTGAATGTTTTTTTAAACAGATATATGGCGCCATACAAATGCTGTGAATCATCATCATCATCATCATCATTGCTGCATTATGCAATTAGTTTGTTTTGATACGTGTATGTCACTTTTGTTTGTTGATTTGATTTGATTTTTTTTTCTTCTCAAATATCCACAAATTAAAATGAGATATATAAACCATACAGTATTACAATATATAATAGAAAAAATGAATTATACAAGTAACAAAATACTGATAAGTATATACAAAATAAAAGAAGTTTTAGAGTACATTTAAGTTTGAAAATAAGACAAGATGTATATTTTTCTTTTGTCAGTCGGTTACCTGCGTGGTACAAGTCCGCTCTCTTCAATGAACTGTACTTCATGACGGATGGTGGAGGGATATGGGTTGATGTCGACGAGGAGTATCCCAATGGTGAAAACAATGCCCACACGAGAGCGTCCTCTCTCGTCAGAGAGTATGGCAGATTTGGGTACTTAGAAGGTAAATATAATTGGACCAATGGTTAGAAAGTGTTAACCCTTTTACTCACTGAACCGCCTGAAACCGCCCGTCTGTTTTCGTCCGTTTTCAACGGGCTGTAGTATCCCTCTATGGGGTCTACCGTGATAATGTTATACGTGCGTTATCCTTACGATGTCTACAGTAGGATTCTGCATAGAAAAATAGCGCATGTTTCTTATTGTTCAGAACAATGTCAAAATGAGAGAAATATTGCAACATCGTCCAGTGAGTAATAGGCCATTTTTACAAAATCTCTAGTTGCTAATGGGTTAAGGCTCGTTCGCATATGTCGTATACTGTAGTGGTTTTGTGTACTAATGAATGGTACATGAGAACAATGTAAACAAGCCTTCTGGGAGTGTTATTCATAGAAGTTGATTCTGCAAACCATAGTTTCTCATGTACTAGTAATGTGCACTAAGTGCATTTTATTTCTAGGATCAGCTAAAAGTTAAGTTGATGTGAACAAAGTATGATTTGAAATCTCTTCATGTGGATCATTCAAAGAAACACTGCTCACTGCTCCTCTTTTTTGATATACCTTGAAAGATAGGAATGCTTTTATGAGCAACCAATAATCATAAAGGAGATGAGACATTGTGAAGAGTGAGATGAACTGGATTTTGATGCTCAGAGAAGGGGGGGGGGGAATCATTTTTGTCAATTTATGTTTAGGAAATTTCAGGAAAAATACAGGACCGCTATTTGACCTAATCTTCTCAAAATAATTTGTCATTAATTTTATGAATGGACAAATCCGTACAGTAATATATATAACAGATTCATTGATTCATAATATTGTTGACAATATACATGTAGTTATATATAGTGATGTCTTTTCTAACTTTAACTTTAAAAAGTGTAGTTTCCTGTTCAAAGCTGATAAACAAGGCCATTTTAAGAAGAAAAAAATTACCATGATGCAGTTTCTATAGCTTTGAATAATTATGATTTACTCTGTTTTTGTTTGTATGGCAGGTCATGAGTACAGGATGTATAATACCTATGATGTTCACTTCTATGCGTCCTTTGCTCTCATCATGCTGTGGCCCAAGCTAGAGCTGTCCATGCAATATGATTTTGGTATGTATCCTCTGCTGCAGATAACCAGAAATAATTGAATCATTTAGTAATTTGAATGAAATTATGTCTGATTTTGTTAGTGTTGGTGGAGGGTGAAGGGGGAGGGGGGGGGGGGGGCTTTGTTATCATTTCATATAATATGTTCAGGTGCCTTCTGTTTTCCAACTATTATCATTTTTATCTATAATTATAAAATTTACACAAATGAAGAGTAGACTACCTGTCATCGAGATGGATTTCTTTGAACAATCCAGTATGGTGTTTGCCACATTTTCTTGTCAAGTAGATTTAGAAAAACAGTATAAAAAGATCAACAACACCATCTTTAACATATGCATGGACATTTTGTTGGAAACCACATCTTTTTTGTTTGTTTATTGTCTTGTACTGGTTGTGTACCTCATGATGCACACTATTATTAGTATTAGTGGTAGTATTGGTACAGTCAAACCTGCTTTAGTGACCACCTGTCTACAAAGACCATATTTTTTGTTCCCCTTGAAAATGGTTTTCTATTGAAACATGTACTAAAGGAACCTGTCTACAAAGACCACTTTTTGTGTTTCCCTTGGGCGGTCGGTCTCGACAGGTTTGACTGTATTATTATCGATGTAATGAAAGTTCACTACTCTTTTCTCTCTCTCCTCCAGGTCAATATGTAGACCATAAAGATGAGGATAGTTTCCAGGATCTATCATCAGGATTGAGATCCATCAGGAAGAGTGCTGGATGTGTACCTCATGACTCAGGAAACCCGGGTAGGTTAACTAAAAACTTGAAAAAAATTGTATTACCCCATTGACTACTGAATTCTTGCATTCCCTCAGGCTTTAATACAGGCGCAGCCTTGTTTGGGTAGGGAGTGGGTTAAACCGTTGGAAGGGCTGTACATGGAGCTGTTCGGAGCTGTAAGGAGATTTCAATAGAAATGAATGATAAAATAATGATACAGAAGGAAAACTATTTGTATTAGGCAGTGAAAGAACTGATTACACAGGAATGAAGAAAGAAAACAGAAAGAGAAAGAGAGAGAGAGAGAGAGAGAGATGAAGGAAAATACAAAAAGGAATAAAGAGCATAGAGTGCACAGAAAAAGATTTATGAAATATGGAAGAGAAAATAGAAAGATAAGAAGAAATGTTTGAGATAGAAAAAAAAAACAGACTAGAAAGGAAGAGAGAGTAATGAAAGAGAAAGAGAGAGAGAGAGAGAGAGAGGGGGGGGGGGGGTGACAGATAGATTAAAGATAGAAAGTATAAAACAAGCATATTTTTTAATATATGTGTAAACCGTTCCCTATATTTGCCTATTATGAATACTCGATTATAAACCTGAATTTGCATAAAACTCTCTTATTTTTTTTTCAGAGGAAGATCCTTGGTTGAAGCTGAATTGCTACTGGTTCCACGACACGGCCGAATGGAAGGACCTGAACCTCAAGATGGTCCTAATGGTATACAGGGACTACTTTGCTACCAAGGATAGGGAGTTCCTGGACTTCATGTGGCCCAAATGCATGGTAAGGTGGTCTATGCATGTAGTACACTTCTGTGTATTGTTCAATGAAAAGAAGAGATGCCAATCATAAAAAAACTTTTAATTTATTCACCAAAACATGAATTTTGTATTTAAAGCCCCACTGCACTACTTATAGCTACTTGCACCCTCTATATAGCAAACAATGCCCAATCGGTGACCATTGGTCCCCCATGATCCTCTTTTTCTTATGTTAATTGAGAGTTGATTTGATGAGATAACCACCTGTCAGTAACCTTGCAGTGTGGTCTAATCGCTCCTGTAAACTAGTACAGATGGGCTTTAAGAGATTCGAGGGGGGGGGGATGCTACATCTTGATAATCTTTTCCTAAGGACCTACCTTTTTCGTGTTATTATACAACATATGACATCTGACCCAAATAGCAATGGGTATCACATTTTCATTTCCCCCCGTATGCCAGGAATCAGCAAAGTATTTTGGAACTAGAATTGAATAATGAGATTTCAGGAAATAGTACATGTGATTTAAGGTAGTTTTGAGCCATTACAAATTATTACTTAGTGACTATCATGGTTTTCATAGATTATATTCATTATCTGGAAAGAGAAAGTTGATAATATCATTATCAGTGGACTACAGTAATGTACCACCCCATGTTTGTTTCATTGTTTAGACTGTGATGGCTAAAGCTAACAGTCAAGACAAGGATGGTGATGGATTGATTGATCATTTCGGAACAGCTGATCAGACGTATGATGTATGGACAGCTAAGGGATGCAGGTATGTTCTGTCATGCTTACCTTCATTTCATCTTTGACTTCATAGATGGTGTTAACATTTTTGAGAATTTTTGTAAGTGTTCTTAAACCATAATTGTTGCTTGTCTTCAAAACGGAGACAGTTGCAATCACAAGTATCATTCGGTCCAGTTTGCATATGGACAGGTAGTGATGAGTAATTCAAAGAGGAATATGAGTCATGTGGTAAATCAGTATACCAAAATTATTTGCTTTTTCATACAACATAATTCAACATTTTGTTAGTGAGTCTGGTTGAGAATTTAATACCTTGATTTATATTTTCAATTACCTCTTTAAATAAATTTGTAATTATCCTTTTACTTAGTATTTTTCTAGTGCTATACAGGTTTTAAAAATAAACTATTATATAAATTGTTAGATACATATGAATGTGTATGTAGAAAATGATACTCTTGTCATACAAGATTGTACTTTGTGAGTCTCGTTGAAGAGACTCCATGAGAACCCGCTCTCCGCGCATGCGCACATAGTCGTTCTTCGCAGCTAGGCTAATAGAAAGTAATTTTTTATCGCGCAAATTATTATTAAAGAAGATTTATGTTTATACACATTCACATGTATATACTGTAATACTACAATCACTCAGAATAACATGGTACAAAATAGATTTCAGAACTACATGTATTGTAGTATGCGCCTACATTCTTCAATAATCTTTATTCTTTGCCTTCCCCAGTGCGTATTGTGGAGGCCTGTACCTGGCAGCTCTGAAGTGCATGTGTGAGATGGCTGACCTACTAGGGGATGACAAAGCCAAGCGACAATACTCAGAGATACTACAGAGAGGAAAGGCCACGTATGAGAAGAAGCTCTGGAATGGTATGGTGCCTCGTGACCAATTCACTTGATTAATTTGTTTTTAAATGTTGCTGATTGATGGTAAAATTAAACCAAAAATAATTCCTTTAGGTGTAACTTGTCTATAACACGACAAAGGAGTAGTTATGCAAGAGATTCATCTAAAATATGAATTGTCGTGCTTGCATGTAGGGTCTTAGGAGATATTTCTGTTCATGTTAACGTTTTGAAACTATCTCTGGAAATCCCAACAAAACCTTGCCATAGCATATCAATAATAATAATAATAATAATAATAATAATAGCCTAATAATCCACTCCAAATTTTATTAAACCGAAACGGAAATTCTTTTTGCCCAATTGATCAATCAGTCAAAGTCAAAAATTGAGTATGAAAAATAATTTGATTTTTATTCATAGTTAGACATATTGGCAACATATGCAATAATTATTCTTTTATGATGGTGTGCTTTAAATAATTGTTAGTCTTATTCATATTGAATTTGATGATGATATGTACTTTACATGATTGACATCCAGGTCGATACTTCAACTACGACAGCAGTGACCAGAGTTACCACGACAGCATCATGGCTGACCAGACCTGCGGTCACTGGTACCTACGGGCCTGTGACCTGGTCCCAGAGCGGGACCAGGTCTTCCAGGTAGACCATGTCAGGTCAGCGCTACGGACCATCTTCGATATGAACGTGATGGGGGTCAAGGAGGGTAACTTTGGGGCTATGAACGGGATCAGACCCAGCGGCAAGCCAGACCATACCAGTCTACAAGGGGAGGAGGTGTGGGTCGGGACTACCTATGGTCTCGCTGGCAATATGATTCAAGAGGTAGGAATTTATTCTTCTTCTTCTTCTTCTTCTTCCTCGTTAAATGCTACTTCATGCAACGAAGATTACGCACTGCAGTGTGGTGTGTGCCATGTCCAATATGTGTGTAGAATGATGGCAAAATTCTGATACAAAGTTACCCATTAGCCTCGTTCACTTATATTGAATTAATTGTAGTGATTTAATTTCTAAATCCAACTTGCTTAGAATCGCATTCTCCTTGAGGAATGTGGAGCATATATTAACTGCAAATTGCACTTGATATCATTGCAATCTAACCTCAATGTAGTAGGGTCTAGAGATTAGAAGAACACATATTTATCAGCAGAATTAAGAAGTAAAAATATTTTGGCAGTAGGTTGTTTATATCAAAGTAATTTAGATTTTTGTTGTTGAATGTATATGTAGTTGGTTTATAATCATATTTTAGTCGTAAAATATTACAGCTTTTTTATAATCATTCAAAAAAGGGCTTGAAAATATAGAAAATAATGTATTTCAATGTACATGTACATGTGTACAGGTTCTTTGTAGATCTAGCACTATGTCTTGTATGATATTCCAGACCATATTATTCTATCATTTCTGTTATTAACAGTTTCTAAGTTACTTTTGCCAAGTAACTGCCTAGAGCAAGAAAGTAAAAGCAATATGGGTCATTCTTCCTGTACTAGTCACCGACCATGAATTCATAGTGTCTTTTCTTTACAGGGTATGTGGGAGGAAGGATTCCGGACCGCCAAGGGATGCTACACGACGTGCTATGAGCAAGCCGGTCTGGCCTACCAGGTCCCTGAAGCTTACATGTCCAAGAAGATCTACCGATCCCTAGGTTACATGAGACCCCTGGCCATCTGGGCCATGCAGTGGGCTGTGGAGAAACGACAACAGCAAGAACAAGAACAAGCTCCAAGCAGCTAAGGGTGCGGTCAAGCGATTTTTGAAGCTAGAATCACAAACATGAATCACAAATCAAAATGCCGTTAAAAAACATGGTTACTATGGGAGAGCGTTCAAGCAATTTTTCATCCACTCTGATTCTTGCTCATTTCAAGCTCAGCCACTGCTCATCACACTGTGCAGTTTGACCCTGGAAGTATAGGTCAACTTCGCCGCGTGCTTTCTGTCTGTGTTTACGGTCGACTGTCGGTCAAACCGGAAGCAGGCAACGATAATGGCGTTATAGAATCATGATTGAGATCTCTGTTCGTTCAAGCGAATTTTAGGGACCGTGATTCTGCAGAATCATGATACAAAACGCATCTTTTTCAGCATTTCATTTTTTTGTTTTTAAACACGTTTAGTTTGACGACCGACAAAAAATTGCTTGAATGCAACCGTGTTTTAAACTAAACGTCTTTGAAAACCGTGATTCTAGGATGAAAAAGTGTTGATTGAACTTAAAGTCTAACCAAACCTTCTACAGTGAAACCTAGCAACAACCTGTGTAGAAAGACCATCTGTCTATAAAGACCATATTGTTTTGTTTCTCTTAAATAATGGTTCTCATTCAATCGGGTATTAAAGGAACCTGTTCATAAAGAGCATCTGTCGATAAAGACTGCTTTTCTTGCTTCCCTTGAGCAGTCTTTATAGACAGGTTTTACTGTGTTTATACATGTAGTGGCTACCTGTTATCAGAGACTTGTATACCAGTTATTCCTTAGAGTGTTTTAACAACAGGTTTAGCTGCGGTCTTTATAGACAGGTCACCCTTAGTGATGGAGAGGTCATATTATTACCAGAACTGGAGAGTGGTCTTCATATACTGGTTTGAATGTTCTTGCTAAAAATCTCCACCCTTCCACAGAGATCACCGTCCATATAGAAAAGCCATATAATCAAAACTCAAAGAGTGGTCCTTATACACAGGTTTCATTGTTCTTCGCTCTGTCTTCATAAACATGGATTCATACACACTTCCAGACAGACAAGCCGTCCTAAAATTTTATCAGAACCCTCTAGTGGCCTTTACACGCAGGTTTGACTGTTGTATTTATCGGTACCGAATAAGAAGTGCCCTTGATCACTCAACAAATGTCACAATACAAGCATTTAAAAAAAATTTAAACAAATCTTAATAGCCTGGAGGCAGTATACATGTTGCAAGCTCTCTGTTTTTTTTTGTACACCAAAGAAACCTTTTTCCAAAGCTACTAACAAGTATATGTGTATTTGTAATACATGTAATTGAAATATTTACAAGGGGGTGTTCTTTTTCACCATTCTGTATTTCGATAAACCTACATGTCATTGAACCTTTATTACTTGGTTTGTAAATCAATTTTCAAGTCCTCTTTTGATACAATCAAGAAATGATGCCAGTTCATTGCTGCTTAATTCAATGCCTTCTGATTTATTTGAGGCAGATTATGTAAAGTAAAAGGTGATTATCTGTAAGAAATTTAATCAAAAATACGGCTTAGATTTGTAAACTTGAATTCAAAAATTCAGATTTTGGTTTGAATTAAATTACTGTTCAACAGAATCATAGTAAATGATTGCGTGACTGTGAAATAAATGTTTTAATGTTATTTCATTTTTGGTTTTCTGTAGCAGGCATTATTTTAAGGTTGATTGGTATCAGAATTATTTATGGTCTTATATCATACGGGTTAAGAATAATTTTGGATGCTGTGAAACAGAAAGGTCTACAATTATATCCCAACTCTTGCCGACTTATTGTTCTTCTCTTCCTCTCTCTATTTGAGAGAAAAATAATATTTTGAAGTGGTAAAAGAAATACCAGGAAAAAAAAGACTAGAACTTAGATATGTCACTGCTTTTCTTGAAAGAATAGTGATATAATAATATTCTGTCTCTTGTATGTGATGATTACGAGTGTTTCGTGGGGGGGGGGGGGGGGCAGCTCATCGCAGGTACAGTATACTGAGTTACATGTCTCACTATTGTTAAACCCTTTATCATCATAATTTGTGATATCGAAAGGGAGATAATTTCATCATGTGTATAGTTTCTCACTGGTACTGGTACTGGTGTATTGCTAATAGAAATTTTCACAGCACTTCCATTAAAAGGATTTAGCAGGAATGATTTTTTAAATGTTATTATTATACATCTTTTACCAAAGAACAACTTCTTGATTCCATACTTATGTACTACACAACAGGATTCTGTGCTATGATAGATATATTAAATTGGAAATGTATTCTATTTATGAGATTATATTATATCAATCAACTAACTAATGTGATAGTATTACTAAAGATTAATAAAGTATTACTAAACTGATTTCCATATTAATTTCTTTGCATATCGGTTTAATTTTTTAGGTTGTTCCATCTTTGATTGTAGATTACGCTTTATATTTTAGCAATTATGAAGTGCCTATTGTAGTATTTATTCAATATATATTGGTACTTTCTATGAATTTTTATGAACGATTGTATGTATGGTAAGTAAAATAATGTTTTGCATTGAAAAACTAGCATGTTTGTGTAATTGTACAAGCAACATTTTACAGAAAGAACTACAAAATCAAGCAATTAATTTACCAAAGGTAGTGTAGTTTGTCAAGATTAGTTTAGGCTTGTAGTATATTTCCGGTAGCACACTTTCTTCCACAATGTACGTTCCAATTTCATCTCCTATTTACTGTTCATTCATGTGAATTTGCAATCAAAATATGTTTCATAAATTGTAAACAATGTTCTTCTTTGCTTCAGTAAACTTAAGGTGGGCTGCAGTAATGTATTGTAATAAGTTAATGTTTAGAAAGGCAGTGTTTTTTTTCTTCTCCAACTTGATCTTTGAAAAGAAGTGTTTAAATGTTACTTATAAAGTTAAACCAATCTCAAAAAATAAAACTCGGCTTAATATTCAGCTCATCAGGATCACACATTTAGGGTTTGCGTTTCATTTCTGGAGTTGTGTTTTAACTTATTTTTTTAAGTGGATGGCCTTTTTTCTTCATCTTATTATCATTTTTTTAGGGGGGGGGGGACAATTTTGAGCATCATGTGACTTGTCAGCAAATTTGATCTGCTAGCTTCCGTTCATAATGGTCCAATATCCTTAATTTTACCAATGTTATATGGTATGCATGTTTATGCATTTGTGTTAATTGATGTGAATCAAATTATTTGTGAGAGAAAATGATATTATTTTGACACTGTCTGTGATTTTATCTGAACACATATCTGTATTTCCAAATACTTGATCTGAAATCTATCGAAGTGATTTGTATGACTTGAAATATCTATTTAAATGTTGATTTGTTGATGATGGTATATCTGGAAAGTTATTTGACTGTACATATTTGTGATGATTCCAATTAGATTATATGATTTTGAAGAGTGTATATTTGAAGCTATGTATCTTATCATTGTATATTATTGGTAGGTTAAGGTTTGAACCCAGATCTCTTTATTCATGCTAGATTATAGTGTTCCTTGCTTTAATACATTTCTTCCATCTTTTGAATAAAACTATTTATCTAGAAAGCATGAGAAACATGCAAGAAATATTGAATTGTGTAATAGAAATTAATCTCATCTTGTTAAACCTTGTACTGATATTAAGTGGTAAGCTATGGTTTACCTATCTCTCTCTCTCTCTCTATTTAAGAGAATGCACTCTGCATCTCATAACACAAAGCTCAGTGACTACGCATATGACCTTTGTTGCATGCAGTGCTATTCATTTACATATACATAACAAATTTTTAAAGGTCACAGTTTACTACAGTACATCTGGACGAGCATTTATGTTTAATAACGGTCAATTAAGTACTTAATGTTAACTGCTTGAGCATTGAAAGTGTCTTTAAAGCCTTTGAACCTTGTTTGTGAATGTAATAATGAATGCACCATCAACGAGAACAAATAAAAGTGTGATTTTTATCTGATTATATGAATATGTTTCGAGATACTTGTACTTGGAAAATAAGATTAATGTAAGATGTGGATGTATCACGTATCTGCTGAATTAATTTGTAAGCAGCTGTCATCATGACGAACATTACATGTTCTTGTATCAACATTTGTTTTCTGTTTTGTTGGTATTTGAAGAAGACTCATAACCATTCCCAAATGGTTTCGACTCTGTTTCAGTCTGTCCACAAGAGGCTTAATGCCTGTAGAACATTAACCATCCCTTCACATTTTATCTGTTCTCTTTTCCATAACATATCACCCATTCACACATCCATCTCCATCCCCCAATCCTCTTCTACCATTAGAGAAAGTTCTTAATATTCATTCATCTAGTTTTCCTTCTCTCTCTGTCCCCCTATTTTTATCTTTTCTCTTGCTCCTTTCCTCTCTCCTCTCACTTTCTCTCACTATTTCTCCCTCCTCTTTCTCTTTTTTTTTTCTCTCTCTCTCTCCTTTCTTCTCTCTCTGTGTCTCCTTTCTTTCTATTTCACATTATCTTTCTCTTTCCATTTCTCTCTTTTTCGCTCTTTCTTTCTCTCCTTCCTCTCTCTCTCTCTCTCTTTCTCCCCCACTTCTCTTATTCTGCCATACATAATATGATCTATTTTTCCTTTAATTTATTTTTTTAATTTATACTCTGCGTTATAAAAAAAGGAAGACTTGCACAACAGTACAAAAATAAAGACGTAGGAATCGTTATATGATGACAGTGATTTCTCTTTTGTAATATTCACATCAGGTTTGTTCAAACTCTCTGAACACTTGATAAGAGACAAACTTCAACATTAATGTCCAAATGCACTACATAGACATCACCACGTCCACCCCACAGAGAAATAAAGAAGAAAATAAAAGAGAAAAAAAAAACATCATACAATCAGTATTTACATACTCGCCATACCATAGCAAACATACTCAGATACAGAAATATGTAGAAACAGCTTACATACAGTACATACATACAGGTACTTGTATACATGTATATGTGCGAAACAAGTATAATATAACCAATATTAAATAAATCTGAAATAATGGCAAGTTAAATACATCCTATTACCTTCCCCTGTGGAATATAAAATGTCTACTACCCCTATCAATACAAAATCAAATTATATTATTTAAATGCATTATTTTTCTTCAACTAATAACCCATATTAGATTTTGAGTGTACAAGTAGCTTAAGAAAGATGTATGGGCCAACTTATAAACATTTATGATAATCCTATTTTGGATAATCGCTCATTTAAAATCATAAAATCAAGGGGGGGGGGGGGTGAATAAATGATCTCACTGATGAGTGCAGAGAGGACATATGAACTCGAGCCAAATTCAAATCTTGTAATTATTAATTATCAACTGTACAATTATTTGAAACATTAATCCAATAAGTGGAGCTACGAACCTGAAAATATGTCTTCTCCATTCTACAAAATACACTGTTCATTTCAAATACCTTTAACGCTCAAATAAAAAAGTTTCAAGGATTGGTTCAAGTTTGCTTGCTTTAAAGATACTAAAATATCATAGCATTCATTCCATTCAATGTGTATTTAGTACAGCAAAATAGGAAGAAGAACAAAGCTATTTTCCATTTAAATGTAGATAACAAAATTATAATATAGATAATCAGGTATTTCAAGGATTAAACAGAAATACTACTTTCAAACTACTTCTTTGTGCAGAGTCTTCAGTTCAACAATTCACATAATAAGAAGGAAGTAATTAAATAAAATTACATAAAAAGTGTATAATTATTCCCCTCAATTATTCCCCACTGCAAAGGTGCCTGAATATCAACTCTTTCAGTTATGAAATATGATAGGATATGAATCGGTCCAAACTGGACACACGCAGGTAGATGTCATGAAGTAGTTTTTCTTTTGTCTGTTACAAATGACTTGCATAGTGCAGCAAAATATACACAACAAAATGAATGCGATACGGAATTACTAGGTCATTCAACAAGTAAGTTTCATTCTACACATTGTTAACAAGTCAATCTCCAGATATTCCAGCTAATATGACCAAAAAACAACAATCATAATCGCAATTTATTTTTGAGGTCTCATGATCTTTAATATTTTACTCTTTTTGTGGTAACAAAATAAAAAGCTAATTGGGTGTGCCATGGCAATAAAATAATTTTGATTTTATTCAATCACTATTTTGACTTACTGCTACGTATAAATCTCTTTCTTGTGCAAACTACCCTTGACTTGTGCACTTACTTAACTTAACTGCATCTGGCCCTGTTTACATGAAAACGTGCTCGACCAAGTTTGGCAGTAAACTTACACCACTTTATTAGTTCAAGCGCATATTTTAAGGTGATGCGTAACAACACATAGTTATTATCTTGTTATTAGCTTGAACGCAAAACATGTGCACAAAAAGAAATTACAGATGCTCCAACCTTGAAACCCCATGGAGGGATTGAAAATGTCTCGCCCTCTTTTTCTCTTAAATGTGAATTGGTATTAATGCAATCTTTCTAAATAATCATGATCTATTCATGACAAAGCAAACGTGTGCATCAAAGACAATAGCCAAGACACAAGCTTGCATGACAGATCAGAACAAATACTTGTAAACAGACAACAATTACACAAACATGTACATGGTAGCAAGTATCATTTACATCTTGGAAACTAAATAGTATACTTAAATATATAAATATATACATGATCATATGCAACATACGTACTCAATCTGAGCTATTATTTTTACCGTAAATTCTCGTACACCACCACAACATCTCTTATGGTTAATATAAATAGGCAGAAATTATAAAATATATAGTATTTTCTCTTTTATTTATGACAGAATATTATCTTTTTCAACCCTTTCGTACATACCCGAAAAATATCTTTTTGTTTGACATTTGCTTCATACTGAATTGAAATACTGGATACTACGATGAGGTCACTAAGCACTTCCCTCTTGGGAGCTGAACATATCATGTATGGAGAGCCAGAAGGGCACTAGGTCACATCCGTTAAAGACGCAGCTTATGCCTTTCTGGCCCTCAACAGATGATTTCTTACTTGATGAGATGAAATATACAACACATATCATTTTAATTTCTCCCTCTATTTTCTTTGTGCCGTGACATACCCCAAAATATCAGGGTGGTAGTCTCAAAGTTAGCCACAGGGGGTTCTTTTCTCCTTGAGACCTGCTTGCCATCGTCATCACATCCCATGGTGCTGATAATAACACTTTATCTTCTCACTCTCCGTACATTTAGTCTTCGTCGGTACGGTGCCTTTCAAGGTTAGTGATTACCCCGTACTCAAGGACTGCAGAAAAGTTTCATTTCTAGTCTGTACTGTCCAATCTTCGAAGATGATATCTCTCTTGAGCCCTCTCTTTCTCTTCTGTGAAGCAGTCTCACGCACGCAGAAATCCACTACAGATGGAGAACTGCTGTGAGCTGGGACACCTGCCAAACTGTTCAGTATTCCATAGAATGGCCTCTCTCTGTTTCTCCCTAATGGCCTATCTGTCGACCTCCTATAGGAATCTCTCCGGGGTTGCAGCAGATGCTCATATTCAGGTCCAAGTCCAAAGTATTCCTTGAGAGTCCTCAACATTTGGTACCATCTGTATGCAACCACTGGGCTACAAGGCCTACAAGGCATGTGAAAGAGTGAATAGAACTGACTATGATGTACGATGTCAAAGTGATAATGACGTCCACTGTGTTTTGATCCCTTCATCATAGTCGATGATGACACTAGATTTGTATGCAGTTTCCATTCTCTACAGGAGCGCTCCTTTCACAAGAAGTCTTAAACTTTGGCAAATTTCGTCCACCCTGTGCAGTGATCCTTCGAACCATCCATGTCTTGCTTTTCCAGAGGTATTACAATATGTCTTTCAACTTCACACTACCCAGGATACCTATCCTCATTAGTCATTGCAACAAGTGCCTGTGGCAACAGAAAGGTTACTCTAAGGTTCCTCCGAAGGTTCCTCCGAAGGTTCTAATCATCACTGTCGCTCTCGCTATCCTCGTACCCGCTGAAATCGATGGACGACGGGAGCTTGTCGGAGCGCTGGGCGTACTCCACGAGAGCAAAGTAACAGAATTCGTACTGGTCTGGTGTTTGGATGCTATAGGCACGCTGGGCTCTCATGAGACGTACTGTGTTGCAGACGTCGATTGTAGCCACATCCTCTAGACGAGCCAGGCTGATGTCAAGGGTACAGAAAGTTCCTGAGCAGCAAAAGAGGATAAAGGAAAGGGTTTTTAAAAAATTGATAACCACATTGACAGTAAAAAAATCTTGACTTATATTATATGTTTACTTTGATCACCAGTCCTCAAAGATCTCACTGTCTGTACAAAATGAAGAAAAGAGTCCATCTCCTAGTTTTATGTGTAATGTGTCAGCCAATTTCAGTTTCCCCTCATCTACACAGTCATCCATTTCTATAATGTCAACTATTTTCTTCTTTCCTTAACTAATTCTTCAATTTTATAAAAGGAATCTCCATATCAGCCATTCTTTTCTCAAAATCAATTGCTTCCCACTACACAAGTATTCAGTCCTCTTTTACCAAAATTTTGAGTCTATTCAGAAAAAAAGTGAATAAGTTGGGGAAAAACGAACGGTGAACAATCATCTATAGAGATGTTCTAGACAACTCTGGACAGCGATACTGTACAGGGGAGTTCGAAAACTTAAAGCCCATCTGTAATAGTGTACAGGAGGGATTAGACCACCCTGCAAGGTCCCTGGACAGGTGGTTATCTCATCAAATCAGCTCTCAATTATCATAAGAAAAAGAGGATCATGGGGAACCAAAGGTCACTGATTGTGCATTGTTTGTTATATAGAGGGCGCAAGTAGCTATGAGTAGTGCAGTGGGGCTTTAACAGAAGTTTGACGATTGCTCACCTGTCCTACCGATACCAGCGCTGCAGTGGACCACGATGGGAGGACCTCCTGGGTGACCGGTCCACTCGTCTCCCATCTCCTTGACCGATGTTGACTGGTACTGCCTCACCTCCTCCCTGAACTCTAGCATGGCCAGGGCAGAGCGCGGCGTCCCAAAGTCTGGCCAGCTTGTAAACTGGAAGTGGGTTATTCTCCTGCTTTCATTGGTCTGTATAAACATTTAGAGGGAGTGAAAGTTAAGATTGACATGGAAACAATGTAACACCATCTCCTCCTTTTTTTGTACTGGTCCCCTAGACTTGTCATAGATTCTGTCAGTTCAGGTCAAGCTTGATTATGACGACACAATACAAAACCTAATCATCGGTACAGTGACATACAGAGTTGTTAAAATTCTCCTCTGCGGTAACAATCAAAGCCACCATTGATACTGAATGCAAGCGAGTAGGTGTGGCACAACATAGAAGGCACTAGTACTCATATTTCGGTGAGCATTAGTCTCAAATCTTCCGAGATTTTCAATTTCAGATTTTCTCTGTGTACTTCCCACCTGAATGAGTACTCGCAATTAAACACTTCTGTGGGTTGTTTCACAAAGATCCTAAGTCGAACTTAACTCTAAGTTGGACTTAAAAATCATGGAGAGCCATTTGTAGTCTTAAAATATATTCAAAGGCGAATAATGAAGTATTTTAGACTTTTTATAAATTCCACATCAAGAAGATGAAATCTCCTTGATAATAAAAAATATGAATGATTTCAATCAATATTTTGTGCCTTTTAAAGTAACTTTTACAAAATATTTCCATAGGAGCTAACGGCTTTCCATAATTGTTAAGTTCAACTTAGAATTTTGGTAAAACAATATAGTATCCTCCAATTGTAAAATCAACAACCATTTTGAAATTTCAAACCCTTTCAATTGTAAAATGTGCCAGATGAAATAACTTACCGTGCTGTTGTGAACCGTCAGCACTGTGATGGTGTAATCTCTCCTGGTCTCAATCTCCAAATTGGCCACAGATATCTTCCCGTACTCTCCTGATGTTCCCTCCTCCAGTGGCCAGTACTGGCCGCACTTCAGCCTCCCTCTCTCCACCGTCCTGGTTGTCATGACGATGGTCCTGCATTGACTTTCCCAGATCATGAGCCAGAAGTCGCTGAAAGTCTTTGGTAAAGCGCCTAAGATAGATAGAACAAAGTGGTAAATTGTACATTATGACAATTAAGACCGGCAGACTTGGGGTTCCTGGTATATCCAAGTCAAATCATTTGATTTCATCGCTATCTTTGTTGAAAATGTGTCTTGATTTACAATATCACAATCGGAAAGAGATCAGAGAATTACTCAGTGAAAAATATAGTTCCTATCTTTTGTGAAAAAATGTATCTCCTTGTTGCAAATATGACCAATGAAAATTAATAAGGTATCACTATGTGTACATGTAATTTCTATCAAGCCTGCTAAAGATACTACCTGACTTTGGCCAAATTTTATTGAAAATGTTGGATTGAAGACAAAAAAAACACTAACTGTATCACAAGACTGCCATCCTGTACTCAGTATTTCATCAGGCTATTTTCATATCAATTTTTAGCCTTCCTTGTTTGTCCAGTATCTTACTGATCATTACCTTGGAATCATTTTAAAAACTCAAACATTAATTGGAACACTACACATTTTGACTAGAGTGGGACTACATACCCTGTGTAGCGATGAAGGCATTTTTCTGCTTGTATCCATCCATGTAGTTAGCATTGAGGTAATCAGAGTAGGGATCTCCGTTGAGTATGGGTAAGAAGACTCTGGAATGGTCGTAACAGAGGACATCAGCATACCGGTTCTTATGCACATTCAGCCTGTGTCTGCAATGGAGGAGAAGAGGAAGCACATTTTAATAGAATTTTAAAAATGGAATCAAAATTACATGGTGGTCGAGTTTTGACAGAATTTACACTGGTCTTCAAAACTTAGCAGTAATAGACCTTTGTCTATGGTTGGTGGATGCCCAAATCAGGCAAATGAATAGTTCATATCACCACAAATACTGAAGAGAATAATCAAGAGATAGAACTATAGGTAATGTGACAAGCTTACAACAAAGCCACTATTTGTTTAAACAAAAGGATGCCTCTGGTACCACCTTTGGTGGCAGAAGCATAACAATTGTCAAAATCTGTCACGTACAATATGACTTCTATTTCGAAATTCCAGTTGTTTGCTTGGTGCACATACCTGTTTTATAAAACATAAACATACATGAAGAAATTCAATCAATTCTTGAGTACATCTACTGTATGTAAATAAAATGTCTCAATCATTGTTAACTTCCAAGATCAATTAAACTTGAAAGGAAAAGATTTAATACATATACATAAATCACATATTTCATTTGGTATACCGGGTACTTTTTTTTTTTTTAATCCACAGAAAGAATTTGAGAAAGAAAGAAAATAATCAAAAGGTGAGATTTAGGTCAGTAACCTTGGGTTAAGTCATGAATGAGACATATAGGGGGAAACCCCTAAAAGGGCAATCAGGCAACAAGGGGCCTCATACAGTCTAGAAAATTGTGATTATTTGAACAGTACGTGTAGCACCTTCTGCGGCTAATCAACTCTGTCTGTCATCATTGCTGAGACAGCTCAGTAGTCACCTGTGCTGATGGCAAAGACACTTGCGAGAGCGCGGTAAGAGCGACTGACTGGTTTGTAAAAGAGAGGGCCTTGTCGATGGCTCCCAGAGGAGAACGGGTGTGACAGTATCAGTGAGGTATTAAATGAGTCTGCTTCAGAGAATCAGGCCAGTGCCCTTATAATGACCTACTATTGGTCATTCCAGCCATATGATGCAGTTCACAGGCACAAACCCTCAAGTCAGTCGTAACAGGTAATAAAGGGTCAAAAGAGCGATGCTATAATCCATACCGCAGCCCTACCATGTCCTGTGCAGTAGCTGCTCATGACAAGTTATTCTTTAATAGCTCAGGGCTCGATGGTCAGGTGTCAAGATACAGTCTGAACCAGCAGACTATACATGATAGGTGCCTGGGTGTCAGTCAGGTTTGATATTCGTATTGACCCATTAGTGATTCCAGCAGATGATCTTGGCACTTTAATATTAATCACTTTTGATCTTAGGAGCTTCAATGGCAAGACAATTCAGACAGAAAAGAGATTTACCAAATAAAAAAAAATTGGTCAACTATTCTTTTTTTAAGAAGAAAAAAAGTGCAGATGAAAATTGAAAGGTGAGAAGAAGAACATACCCAGAGAAAAAAAATAGAGGATGAAAGCAGTAATGAATCTATCTAGGATAGAATATTACTTGCTAAATCTAAAATCAACTGAGATTGCCCAGCAATCTACACTTCATAATGCAATCGAGCAGGCGTGAAATTATCGGGGCCATTCGTAATGAGAAAAGTTCCTCCATTTGTCGGTCATTGACATCGAGCCTTGCTCGCACATTTCACATTCTCACCATCATGCCCTACTACTTCACCACAAACTTCTCTCCACGAATCACTGTATATTACTGATTCCGCTTCATTATTGCTCCCAGCTAGATCGGTAATATGGTTTTCATCCTCTCTGACACCTCCCCTTTCCCTTTCCCTTTGTCCTCTCCCCTTTCCCCCTTCCCCTTCACAAGCTACAGATGCTAAGCAGATGTACCCCACTTCATCATCATCATGATGGTGATCATGATGATCATCGCCCTCCAAACATGTGTGGGTATTCTGTTACACTTGACATGCATGCAGGCAGGCCCGGCAGGCAGGCACGCATCATAGTGATGTCTGCATCCATGAATATGTAACCAGTATGTGTGCATTCACCGGGGGATTCAGTTCAATCAAATATTCACGAGGATTGAGAGTGTGCAGCTTTTCGCTCTCTTTTTCTTTCTTTTGCGAGCATCTAGTTTTTTAAGAGTTGCTTGAAGGAATGAGTCACTGACTTGACTGAATAGCCACATGTCACTCAATCACTTATGGTGGGGTGCCTGCTGCTAGCTACGTATCCCTGGACATTTGAATTACAGATTGCTTCGATGTTTGAATGATGTCCCTTGGGGTGTCAGAAGGTACATTCAGTGATTCAAAATACAGAATGACAATGACACAACTACTAATCAAGGACCTGACAAATGCCCACTTCAAAAGCAGAGTTAATCAGTGCATGTCAACTCGCAATATTCTAAGCAAACAGAAAGTACTCAAGCACCCACATGGAAATATGAAAGAAGTCCATATTCAGGCAAAAATAAGGAATCATGATTAATCCTTTGTTTACAGGCATGATCATCAAGGGATGTTTGCATTATTCGTGATTCATACCACGATGGAAATCGCGAGCGGCTTTAAAAAGGATATTCCCACTGCCAAAACCTTGTTCAGTCGACCTTTCAGCGTTACACCAAGATGGTATCTTCTTAATATTCTCATTTTACGCAAGGTGACGAATAAAGCACACCCATAAAAAGTGTAGAAACCTGTATCATAAAATTAAGATGTTTCGATTGTCACCGTTTGGACAAAAAAAGCTAGAATGTTTCATGGATCGTTATTTGTTTAAAACAGAATAAAATCATAACCAGAAAGATTTGTTGGCATGGTGTTTCAGGGTTTTTCTTGCACTATCACTGTAAAATCATGATGTTAGTAACATCGCAATGTTTGGACAAATCTAATAAACAGGCTTATTGTTTTAACTTTCCCCCTGCAATATATCTTAATCTATGGATTTTCTGAATTTGAAGGATAACTTCTACAGCACATACACGCACATGCAGTACAATTTAGTTTCAAGTTCGGCAGCTAGAGGGCGGCAGTGTGGATGCAAAGCAGGCTAGCGGCAGAGTGCCAGGTCACCTGCCGATGTCATCGATACACCAGGACAAGATTCCCTGAAATGTAGGAATGCAGGGGGGTGAGTCAGCCCCCCTCTTGGCACCTGATCAAACCTCTAGGTGATTCCAAACCCATTGGACACGCTATGACAGGGATACCCCTCGTAGCTAGCCTACTTCAGAGATCCGCACTGGTCCCAGTGATCTGGTTTGGAATCAAATTGCTCTAGTTCTCCGCGATTTGATAATGCCCTGTGTGCATATGTATGCCCAGCTTACACATGTTTAAACATGGAATCAGGCAGCACTATATTTGATGCCTTCAGGCTTCAGGTAACACATATATCGAAAATTAAGTTAATGTCATGTATCTAGGACTAGGTTTGTTCTGAAATCCAATCATATTTGAACAGAATTTCCAAATAAACATATATATCATTTAATTGATCTCTTTATCCATTATATCTTTCCTGTTCCATTTTTTTTCCAAACTAAAAATTTCAATTGAATTTTATTTTTTTAATTGTTCAGAGCTCACAACTCTACCTAAACAAGGATATCAATTGATGGAGATGAGCAAATAGAAAGATAAAGAGAAGAGGAAACAGTGGAAAACAGTGTATGAGAAGAACAGAATGAAGAGAAACAGGACAGAGAGGTATAGAGGAAGAGCTCCGGGAATGTTGCAATGTTGCAATCGTTGAAAAAATAAACTCTTGATTGCGAATGTCTGGTTCAATTCAATAGGGGCAGAAAGATTTGAGTAACCAATCATGTTAATAGTTGGGGTTAACTAGAAATGGGCCGACTTCTTCCCCAGACAAGTACATGGGCAATGATGATTCATTTAGCGTGTCTAGGGCTATTATTGCAACCGAAAATGTATTCAAGGACTTGACAGATAGCAAAGAAAACAATTACACCCATTTATTTTCCCATGCTTTTCTTTGCCCATGGAAGTACCAACGTTCATTTCACACAACATGGACATCCTGTCTAGTGTCTACCCAACCATAATAAACAAGAGTATTATGAATCGTGAAACAGATAGAGATTTGGAAATCTCAACTTCAACTGATTTTGCAGAGAGCTGCAAGAAAGTATGGGTATGAACTTGTCAATGAGGTTTAACTAAAAGTGATCTTGGAGCTGATTCTTACAGACATGTAAATACATCATTAACATGTACATCTGAGATCTACCTTTAACATCACAATCCTAAAGACAAAACTCACGTTTCTAACAATGGTCAATTTAAGGGTGAATACCAGAGAAATAACCCCTAAAGCGCATGAACGTTCACCCCCCCTTCCCCCTCACAAAAGATGGACACTACATTTCATAATTACCATCTGTAGTTTAATTTTTTTCTGAGAAACATTCAGTGACCAAAAGGAAATCCCCATCTCCACAAAGACGACTTTCATCGTAACCATCAACCCACTTTCCTAATCAGTCAAGTTACAAAGCTACTTTTCAACGAACTTTGGATGATCTCTCTATTACACGGCTGCTGAAGGCTTCAAAGACGCCATCGCAGGAAAACAATAGAACCTTGGGCTAAACAACAAGCCTCAAGCCCAGGAAACAAACAACAATCCCACCTACGTGCCAGTGGGTTGCGCAGGCAGGGCCTGGGATAGCTAGCACCACCGTTCATTCTGTGATTCATACTGAGTGGCCCACTCAAGAAGTTCAAAAGTTTGCCGGAACCTTCCCCTGCTACGACCTGTCATCGACAACTTGTTGCAACTACTTTCTCGGTAATCCTTCTGATCCCCCTCAAAGTACTCAAGCTAACTATTACCACAGATTGAGATATAGAACTATATTTCTCTTTGAGGGGGCGGTATCTTTCCTTCACAATTGTTTGAAGTAATACCTATCAATTCTAATCAGCCAAATCAAAACATGAATTATTCCCAACCACAGATTCTACTCAGTCCTTTACTTTTAGGGTCATTGATGATGAGAGAAAGGTGCCTTCTTGCAACAATCATTTCAAATGGTAAATGTATCTATTAACTCTAATTAACCTTCAGCCTACTGAAAATATTCCAGACAACTATTAACAACCACAAAATAACTCTATTTCATCCTACACATTTAGGGTGAGCAATAATGCGAGAGTGGTGCCTTTTTATAACAACTGTTTACATTTGGTATCTATCAATTCTTTACATTAACTTTGGGCCTACACAATAAAATTTTTATGATAAATATACAGGTAAGACCTTATTTAAATGTAAAATCACTCCTAAACAAATAAATGTACAAGTAGTACTAGTAAGGTGATTAATTTTCTGAAACAGTTTTTCTCACAGATTCAACCTATTATCATGAGACTTCCTATATGCTCTATACACACTGTGAGAGATATTCCCATGATTGAAGTAGACGAGACAGCTGAAATCAAAATGAACTCTTCCAAAATAAGAGCATCTGAAAAAAACAGAAATCCCAAAATCAAAACCAAATAGTTGCCACAGTAGGTCCTGCTGTTATCCTAAAGAGCATGCTGGGAGATGTCAGTGATGACTGCGCTGTTTCTTTCACAGATCTGAAGAGAAGATGGCATTCTTCAAAAGTGAAGATTCTCCACTTACGAAGACAACCTACGACTGTCAGGAGGTGCGTTACAGGGGGTCATCCTCACTTCAAGCTAAAGAAGCAGAGATTTCTTCTCACTTTACTTCTGTCGTTCAACTTTATTTTGAAAAAATTAAGAACCATAGAGAATTACTGCTCTACTACATGTGCATGCATTGTGTGCGGGCAAGCCTGAATCCGATAACCGGGGTAATAGTATAGTCTGTGAAGCGCTTTGAGACATCATCAATGTATTAAGTACTATATAAAAGCGGAATATTCTTATTATTACTTGTATGTACCGTAAGAGTGGGACTAGCATCACAAGCTTGATCTCATAATCTACCCTCACATGGTCTACATCAACGGCACTTCTGATTCCACTTAATGATAATCTTCAATCTCACGAGATGTATTGTGCATTTTTAGCTTTCATGATGATGACTAAGCTCTAGCTATCACTGGTTCCAATCACGAGATTAAAAGAATCTCATTCCTCGAGCCGATTTTTGGAGCAACTACCTCCAGACGGGATCAATAATAAAAACATTCCTTCCATATCTATAAAATGACAAATGCACATCAGGTTTTCAGAATAGTAATTAAATCAAGCGAGACTGTTTTGCCCACGCCGACTACTCGTTCATATTTCCAGCAATCATTTAATTCAACGGTTCCTATTCCTCCCCCTCTATTTTTTTTCCTCCACAAGAATAGAGGATCCCAAGGGATGCCTAAATATCTTAAATCACTGGCAAATTTTGGAACATCCACCCCGCCCAAGGATCTAATGGTCTGTCATTTGAATCACTAACTTGTTCATATTGATTTTCCTTACTCCTTCTAGCTCTCCCTCTTTATAGCTCTCTTCTTTTTCTCAAACTTTTTTCTCTTCTCTTCTCTCCTCTCCTCTCTGCCATTTATGTACATACATATATCTTTTCATTGACTCTCTCGGTATCTCTATTCTTCATCTCTCTCTCTCCCTCTCTCTCTCTGACAGTAAACTTGGGTCTTGGGTCACTGCTCACTTCATTGAAAGTTGATGATATTGATTTTCCTTACTCCTTCTAGCTCTCCCTCCTTATAGCTCTCTTCTGTTTCCTCAAACGTCTCTTCTCTTCTTCTCTCTCTCTCTCTCTCTCTCTCTCTACCATTTATGTACATAAATACCTTTTTCATCATCTCTCTCGATATCTCTATTCTTCATCTCTCTCTCCCTCTCTCTATCTCTCTGACTTTTAACTAGGGTCTTGGGGGTCACTGCTCAGTTCATGCCTACTAAGCCACCATGAAAATCACAATTTCCTCCTTTTCTAATCCACTAAGAACTTGGCTGAGCTATGCCTTACTTGCAATTTCCTACAAGCTTGCACCCTGCATGATGCATTTAAGATCCCCTCCCATCGTCATGTTCCAATCTTATCCCACTCAAAGCTTGTCACATCTCATCTCGAGGTACCCTAAATCAGGGGCCTGTTTCATAAAACTTTTTATCTATAACAAATGCTAAATCTCTATGACAAATTTGCTTTCAGCCAATCAGATGCCATGGTTTCAGTAGCTTATAACAGTAGCTTGTAACATGTTATTGGTATCAAGTTTGACGAAACAGGGCCCTTATCTACAGTCACAGCCCACATGAGACACCTTGCCATCAGCAACCAGTTTGTCTTGGGTCACTTTTCTTTAAAAGATATCATAATCCTGCTTAAAATTTTCAGTTATAAGTGGTTTTCAACAGTCTCACAAAGCTCTATGTCATCTGTTTTGAGCCAGTAGGCTGCTGTTGAATATTTGCTTAAGTCTAAGAGTTAACAGACGATATTCACCTATCTTATGAAACCTAAAACTTTTGTATGCAAGAAATTTTCCGGAATTGTGTGAGTGGTCCAGATTCATAATAGTTTCATGATGCAAAATGATTGAATTACAATCCTGAATTTAGCAAATTCTCAATTTTCTTGCTGCTAAAATGGCCATGTTTAACCATTCAGGAGAGTTTCTGGATTTGGATTCCTTTCACAACATGTACAAGATGATAGTGTATTAAACACAGTTACATCAATGATTACTTACTTTGATGCATAGAATGTCCCTGCAGGAGGTTCAGCTCTTATGGCTGCATACTCCTTGTAAATCCCACTTTGCCTCATGTTGAGAACATAGGACACCAACGCCTCAATGTCCATACCGCTATCCGTCGACTGGTGCACCGATTCTGTGGCGGAGAAATCGGGTAGATCCCTTCGATCTGGAACTGGGGGTGGTGAATCGTTGGGTCGGGGGCGAGGTGGTTTGGGCGGTGGACCTTCCGGGATACCGTCGCCGTCAGCGTCCTTTTCCACAATTTCAGTTTCGTATTTTTCCTTTGCGTCCTTCAGTATCTTCTCCTCATCATCCATGTCCCGAAATCTGTGGTCTTTTAAGGAGCCATTGCCCAGAGAGTCTGTGATGTGTTGACCGTTACCTGTACCATTGGCGCTGTCGCTACTACTACCATTTGTTTTCATATCCTCTATGCTGCCACGGATGGGGTCTGACTGCGTGCCGCTATGACTTGACTCCAGACTTTCCGTACTACCTCTAAGGCTAATGTCCACTTTGAACCCTCCTGAAGGGGAGCCTAAATCGGGGATCCTATCGATCCTCTCGGGAGCGTACAGTTCTACTGCTTTCTGGTTGGCCTCTAGGGCCTCTGGTGTATCTACGAGGGCATCGCTCAGATCGCGTGAGTTGCGGTTCTTATCGCTGTTTTGGTCCAGACATGAGTTGAGCCAATCTAGATGGTTGATCTCTGCTGTTCCACCGAGGTCTTTGGGCAACGAGGTGGCCGGTAAGTATCGACATAGTCTCTCAGCACTTACTAGGGTTACCTGAGAAAATTACAAACAAGAAAGAAAAAAGAGAAATAAAACAAATTAGTATTCATTATTATCAATACCAAACTACAGAAAGTTTGCAAAATGAGTAATTCTGATCAAGTTCCTAAAAAAAACGAAAAAACTGTACTTTTCACTACATGTGCTTTTACCCAATGCACAAGGTTAGAACATCAGACCCCATGGTATTGGTCATTCAAACTGTAATCCTGATAAATCCTGATGAATAGAATTGTGATAACCGCTAGTCCAAACTCCCACATCGCTTACATGTACATCCATAAGAAAATGTCAAGCAGAAATGTATCCAAGACTTTTCTTGCACAAAATGGTTGATAACTTCAACTACCGGTACTGTAGTACTCATACAGGTATGAGATTATGTCCAAAGGAATGGAGTCAGAACCACTGGAGTACACTTGGTCCTTTCCCTTTAATAATAATATTAATAGTTCATTCTTTTATAGTGCATTTCAGGACCTCCAAAACCCTTGAACAACTTAGTTGAGGCCTTGATTGTGAGAGAAAGATCATCATCTTCAGGACTGAGAAAATCACATGTAGCCATTTTCATCAAAGAATACAGAAAAAGACATGCACAAACCAACTAAGGAAAAAAGGTACATGTATTCATTCTGAAACATGAGCATTATCTACAACTGCCACTCTCCACCCAGGTGTCAAAGGGTATCATAAGCTTGTGTGCAATGCCTTTGGCTGCTCGGCTCTAACCAGAGCTACATGTACCTGTAGTTATACAAGAGGCATCATTGTGTGCAGACATGAACGCTACATACGAAGCCAAAATTTAAGATGATGTCGTAATTATCTTACCTCTGAAACGTCACAAGCCAGAGCAGTGCTAACACGGCTCCCAAAGGACAACTTTTTCAGAAGGGCATTCATGATGCGACCAGTTCTAGCTTTTGATGGCATTATATACAGATAAATGTCTCAAACTATATGCCAACGCCAAATGTTTCTAGGCTCTTTGCCTTCGATTCATCTTCAACTGTAGATGGCCTTCTATTTGGATGCTAGATTCGATGATCACCATAGGAGTGACAAACGATATCGAGTGTTTCCTCTAGACATATATTATCTGGTAGTCGTACAATCCTGATCAGTGTCGTTCACAATTTGCCTAGATAAGTAGCCCTCATAGCACAGAGCAATCAAATGAAATTGAAACTCCCATCAGCTTTCAATCCAGAATAAAGGAATCAACAGATTCAAAGTACCCAAATAATGTATACAAACAAAAAACGACTTGTAAGGCAAATGGCAACAATTTAGTCAGTCACATAGCATCAGAGCTAGTTAGTTCACCATGTCTGAAAACCCATCTAGAATATCAGAATGTAATGGCTACACTGAATGATGCGAACCAAATCCAAATGATCTTCCCGACTACGATCCCACGCAGTGTATGTGTATGTACAGCTCTAACGTCCCGATGCTTCGCAAGTCAGCCGGTAAAATGAGCTGTTCATCCGTCTGCTAGCTACATGGTCTTACAGCACCGCTCGGCAGGATAACTTGAGAGCAGCAGAAGTCAACACACAAGCGACACACACCACACACACACAATCTCTGACACACTCCAGTGCCTTGTTGGGTGCACAGCGAGATACATCTATGCTCAATTAGGCACAGCTAGCCATCTCCTGACTCTCTGTCTTCCCTTTTTCCCCGTTCCTTTCTGATTCAATGTTTTACACTTCTTCCTACTTTACATTTCCTCACATTCTCTTTTAACTTGCTGTGTTGATTTTCATATTTCCAGTACTGGTATTTCCTTCCAAGCCCTCTTTAGTTCCATCTCTTCTGTTTAGGTGATTCCGGGCAATGTATCCCGTATGGCATATGACATTTATCCACATGATCTCTCCATACAACTATGACAAAAGGTAGGGGTGCCAACAAGCACCATTTTTCATCGGTTATGCCAAGAGATTCTTCTTTTTTTAAATCACATATGTGTAGAAAGACATTTGTTGTATGGGACACACTGCATGGAAGTACTCTTTAACCACGCCCACTCCCCTTCCATTTTTTAGTGGTTTGTTATGATTTTTCTTTAACTCTCTCCCTCTCCCTTTTTTCCCCTTCCTCCACATCTCCCCCCCCCCCCCCCCCATCTCACTCTCTTTATGTATACATGTCTCTCCCACTGTCTCTGTATACTCCTGTTTGTTTGTCTGTCTCTCTCCCTCTTTCTCTCTCTCTCTCTCTCTCATCTGTCTGTCAGTCTCAATCTATTAGTATTTCTCTGTATGCTGTTGGTCTCTCTCTCTCTCTTTCTCTCTCTCTCCCTCTCACACTCATCTAATCATTCTGTTATCATTGAGAAGAAATGAGACATATCCTTCCAATCAGGATATACCTTATATGGAAACTAACTACCAACTTTGTCTCATTCGACCAATGAGAAGGCTTCTTTCAAAGACAACATCTCATCTACTTCTCAGGTTTTACATAATTCACTAAAGATTAGGAAGATCACAGTAAGAAAAGAAGAATAAAACGGAACAGGCATGTTCTAGTCATACTCTGACATCATACACTACACCTGTCTTATAAAGAATTGCAATAGATCACAGGTCCTCCAATTAATCGTAAAGTTGCAAAAGTAATGTGAATCTCTTTGGTACAGAGTAGCAATTGTTTTCTACTTCAGATCAATATGAATTGATCGCAACTGATTATAAGACAGGGCCTGGCAAAGTGAATGATATTCTAAACTTCATATATATATGCCTCTATGAACTTTTCCTTAAAAAACAATTTTCTGACTTCAAAAGGAAGAGAATTATTTAAAAAAAACAGTATTCTAAATTTGGAGGTCATGTTGATGTTTGAAAGAAACTCACTACAAACTAAATGTTATGACAAGACACACCTGTAGAGGAGTACAAATATGGTGCATGATTTATTCTGACGGTTGTCATTTTAAATGTAAATGTAAGTGATTTTCAGGTCTTGGTTGTTCAGTAAACCTTTCCAAATCTATTCCAATCACAACACACATAATCCTCTATAGGATTGGTAGCAGTATGTGACTTTTCTATAACAGCTATCATTATGAATTCCAGCTCTACAGTGTAGCTTTCATAGAAAAACCAGATGTATCCATTCCTCGCACATGCCAACATTAGATCGATTCCTTTTTGATGTAGGCATTTGGAATACAGCTTGTCATGTACTCAGAAGACAACCTATGTAGAGTATGTTGTCTGCTGAGAGCCAGGAGGGTGTTAACTCTACTTGAAAAGTAAAAGTGCTAGTACTATACCAGTACTGGCTCTGGTCTTAGCAGACAATGTCTGATTGAGGAAAAGTCAAGCACATTTATGCTCTACTGTTAAAGGGCAAGTCCACTCCAAAAATAACTTACTTTCAATAGAAGTAGAAAAATCATACAAACCAATAAAAAAAAACTAATAAGAAAGTTATGAATTTTTAATGCATGAAAGACTTTGAAAATCACAAGACGAATTGGCAATTCAATCATGAGTCTGTGACGTCATTGCCTCACTATCCACTAATTGTTTTCTTTATATTGATAATATAAATTTCCCATTTTCCCCCTAAAAATCTTATTTCCTCACACCAGCATCCAAGTAATATTGATAGTCATGTTTTTTTGTGGATGCAATAATAATATAGAGTAATTTTTTCAGTAAAATCATGAAAAATGTGAATTTTGATAAACTATTCATATAAAAATCAATAACTATGAATATACAATATTCAGGAAATAGTATCAATTCTTCAAAGTTCATAAAGGTTTTGTGAAATGTCATGCACGCAATATGATACAAATCATATAACCTAGGCAAAAAGCAATTGATAAATAGTGAGGCAAAGATGTCACAAACTGATAACCAAATTGGCAATTTGTGTAGTGATATCCAAATGTTCCATACTTTTACAAAAATTCATAACTTCCTTATTTGTCATCCGATTTTACTCATTTGTGCTCAGTTTCTCTTGTTTTTCTGCATCTATTAAAAGCCAATTATTTTTGGAGTGGACTTAGCCTTTAAAGAGCAAGTTCCTCTTTAATATAAAATTATATTGATTTATTGGTGCTTGGTGTACATGTAGCTACTTATGTAGCTAACTATTTCTCCTCTGTACCATTCATAGCGGCTTTTTCATCGGAAAATCAGGCCACTATGAAAGGGGTATTAGAAACAAGAGGAACATGTCGTTACACTCTTTGTAATTAGTCAAATGGGACCCTTTACTCAGAAACTAAATCAATTCCTAGGTGAAACCATACAAGTGCTAATCAACGCCTAAAACCATCCTCCTCCTCCTCATCCTGATTGTACCTGTATGGCTTCCAGGTAATTGCTTCCTAGATGTCTATCCTAAGAGATTAACAAAGCTCATCGTCATGTAGGGTTTCATTATTTTCACTATTTACCTCTGATTTCTGCTTTACATCTGTTAAGTTTTTTTTCTTTTTTTCCCATTTTCGACTTATAGGTAGAATAATATTTAATGAGTAGCTGGAGCTGAATATTTGAATGAAACTGAGAGATTGACGATTGGCTAAAGATCCGACCATCTCTTGAAAGACCACACACGGTATTTCTGATCCCTGCACCTAATGAATGAATCAGAAATGATATTGCTTCCTATCGCATCCCCTCCCAGTTGCTTCAGTAATGATCTCACTCTCTATCACCTTACATATCTTTTAGTTCTTCTTTGTATTAATACCACAGCTCCATCTTCTCATTATACAAATGAGGCGGGTGTCTGGTTTCTCTTCCCGCGATAGGGGTGGTTGATAAAGAGGCTCGAGGATGCTAACGTACGACTTAATGAAGCCACTGGAAGTGCTAATGACGCAAATGATTTGCGTTTTTGGATGTCTCTTTTCGTCGTCGCTCTGCGTAGTGGGATGAACTCAAGGGCATATCGGGATGCGCTCGCGTCTTTTTCTGGGAATCAGCTTCCCATTATCTCCATTTTAATTG